TAATAGAAGTTCCACCATAACTCTCTTCATCTGATTTCTACCCCTCGAATGCCTCAGATGATAGTAAAAGGAGCCCAAAAGCCATTGATGCTCTGGTCCCATGTGAGTAAAGCACAGACACTTTCCCCTAGAGGAGTCCGCCAGCTTTAACAGGCTCGCTGTCATATTTATGCTTATAAATCACTTTATTTTCTACACGTTTGCTGTCAGTCTTTGGCATTTTGTCAACACTTAAACAATGGAAGCATTAGTACTGAAATAACAAATGACTTGTAAATGACCTAAATCTATTTAAAGGTATAATGCTGAAGAACGGGGGTTAGGGTAGAACGACACAAGTATACATACCCAGACGCACATTTTAGATCCATACAAAAATGAACACAGAACTTTTATGTATGCTAAAATCTCAATGGCAGTTTGTGCATCTAGTCAACTCAGTATATTCAATTACTGTATTTAATTTTTTCAGAGTATTACAGCTGCAACCTCCATTTATTGTGTTGGTTATTTTGTTGTTTCCCACTTTAAAGTTTAAAACCCTTTAGCACAATTCCATAGAGGCAAGTGGCTCATGACGTGGAATGCAATAGTAATACAGTATATAGGCAATTGTCAGAAGTACCTAAAAGTCTCATTGGTCATAGTTAGATGTTTGGCTTTCAGTGTAGGTGACCGGGATTGCAGCCTGCCTGAAGATTGTCCCCACGGGGACTTTTGTGCTGATATTAGAGGTAGAATTAAAAGCTCACGTATGACAAGCCTCTCAGCGCAGTGAGAGGTAGGTGTTGGCTCTGTGGCGGAGTGAATGGTGAAGCGATCCCATGAGCTTCCCTAAAGGGCCTTGGCCTCATTCTGACGTGATTAGACTAGCTACTTCCGGCACGGGTTCGAGTATGAACATACATGTATTCGGTCCACAGCCAATATGCTGCAGTTTTGGTATTTAGTAGAACATATGGCCACAGTCAGCAATCCTGTGCTCAAGGAAGCAGGATAATTTGACCAGAAGGCATAATTAAAATACATTTTGAATGTTTGTAGTTCTTTTTAATTTAAATATTGTCTTTGAGGTTCCCGACAAACTTAACGATGATTCTGTAGCTTGTGGCAGATTGCAGCTACTTTGATTTTCTTCTTTGTGTGCCACAGCGTCTCATGGGAGACAGTTGTATTCAAACAGTCTGGTTTGTCTTGATCAATTCAAAGTCATCTCCAGGAACAGTCTTGGGTTTAAATAATTTGTGTGTGTACCACAAGCGACATTTTCTCATTATTCATAGGCAAACTATTTGTTGCTTTGAAGTGGTCCACTGTAGACACAATGAACTCAACTAAAGTTAGTTGTCAAGTTAAATGCCATAAAAGCTATCTGTTTACTTTAAATCCTAGATATTTAAATTGAATTGGTGTAAATGGATTCTAATCCAGGTTAGATGGTTGAATAAATGAATGATGTAAATTTGTTTTTTCTCAAATCAGTCAGATCTAGACTGATTCACAATTTCGCTAATGAAGACCAGATCATCTCATGCTGTGTGGCTTATTGTCTGGTCTAACTGAACGATATAATTCAGAGTGCTCTTGTCGTCACACCAGCAACTGCGAAGTCTTCCAAGTCAAAATGTTATCTTCCCTTTGTCTGCCAGGACTCACTCACTTAGGATGCAAATGCGTGCCTGGTCCTTTGTATATGTCTCTAGGACAGATTTTTAATGTGATAGGAAATGTACATTACCTTAGTTACCGTATAAAGGAGGACACACTCTCCAGACTTGATGGATGGTAGTCATTTCGGAGGAGACAGTCAGCAAGTAAACACTTTTTAAATGACTTTTTCCCATATTTTGCTCTCATCTTCCTGTCAAACAAAACCTTCTCTCCATCCAAAAAAATGGGATAATATTTTTTTTAACACTTGACTGCCTGTTCTAACTTTTGGCAATGTAAGCGTTCCACTTCATGAACAAAATAATTAAGTTTAGCGTATTAAATTAAAATAAATCTTGTGGGTTATTTTTCCTTATCTAAAATAAAGCTGAAATCAGATTCACTTCAGATCTCCTGCCACAATCCCTTCATAACATTGTCATAAACAAATTGTCAATTTCAATAATACAGTCAGTGTACAAGTTATACTGCTGTAGAGACGATCAGTCCACACAACACTGCACAAACATGAACACAGCTTTAACAAATATACTTTTATGATGTCTCCTTTCAGAATCCTCATGTTTTGTATTGTCTTACATAAAAATCTGAACATTTAATAATCATGCAGATTTTTGGTTCAAGGCACAACACTTCTGAAACTTAATGTTTAAAACCACTTACAATTGTGAATGGGGAAAATTAAGCCGTATAAAAAGTAGAGTCAAAGTTTAAGTTAGACGGCAAAAGAATGGCGAGGACTCTGACGCGGCAGGGAAAAGGCAAGAAAACAATCAATAAGCTCTTTACATAATGGAAATGAGCTTAGAATTGTTTTCATTGGGCTCTTCAGCATTTCACAATGGGGGCATTAGTATCACAACATTACTGTATGTCACATTGAGTGAAATAGCATATGTCTCTGCAGGTGACAAAGAACATTGTATAGTACTGACGGTGTAACAGTCTATTCACATGCCATACTATCCTTTATATATCCTTTGTGATGCTCCACATTAGGACAGTGAGGAATTGAATGATTGGTCTCCTTATATCTGTCATAAAGCATCACAATAGTGTTATGGTATTTATAACTATAAATCTAAGTTATTTTGAAGGCATCAAGAGAGTAGGCATCAAATATGTTTCCAAAAATCCAAATGCAAATATATTCAGAAAGGTTAATGAGTTGTACCTGGAAAAAAAACCAAGCTTTGCTGTTTTTTTCCACATGCAAGCATTTCTCTCACTGCTGATTCCAGAGTAATTAGCATTTTACCCTTTTGCTGTTATTAGCAGAAATTCATTCAGTTCATTTGAAGAAAGGTACCCAAAAATTAGAGCCATTTATTTATTTTTTTAACTGTTTATATGGCAGGGTGTTCCACGCACCTACCCAGATGAGCTGTCTCAGATTAGGACCCAAGTGCTGCCGTGTGGCAGGCGACACCTCAGCAGGGCGCCAGCTCCAATCCCCAACAGGCCTGACCCCATTGGCTCCCTGACAGTTTAGACTCTTCCAGGGATGAGGCTCCCGAGGGCTTTCCCCCGTCCCCTTCATGATGCGTACGGCCTTCCTGTGGGCAACTGCAGCACAGCTACTTCCACAGAGAGCAGAAAGGAGTCCTGTCTGCTTTGTCGGAGCTGTGTGAAGTATTTTTATTTTTATTAATGGTGGCTGGAGTGCCAATCCCGGCACGAAGCCCCAATTTTTTCCCTGCAAGTTTAAGTTTAATGTCATTCAGTTTAATGTTACACCCAGGCCTTTGTCCATTTTCGTCAAGTGTTCCACTCAGTTGACCAAGCTGCCCTGCGGGACATCCTGAGCCATCCCCGAATTCCCCCATAATTGCTGGACGTCATGGCCAACCTGTATACCGGTACCATGAGTGCTGTGCAGAATCTCTGGGTTCTTCCCAGTCGATTCTGATGTGAGAATGTCAACTTCATTGAGAGGTTCCCCTTCCTCGGCAATGACATTCATGTGTCTGGTGACTCTTCCTATGAAGTCAGCTGACGGATTGCTTTTCAAAAACACATATACATAGATATAATTCAGGCTTTTAATAATAAAGTTTTAACAGTTCACATTCAATTATTTGCAGGTGTTTCCTTAGGATTGTTCATCACTTCTGCTTAATAGTGCTGCAATAGTAACATCTGGGTGGGGGAGTATTCGGAGTAACCTGGAGTACAGCCTCATTTGTCTGCCTGCTTGGAGTCCCAGAGTAACAACATGCTTATGTATGCAGTATTCATTTTTCTTCTCTACCTGCCGAAACAGCACTTTGGTTTGTTTCTTTACTCCAAAACAGTTTTATTTGCACCTTCATGGTTAAGCCCTCAGTAACGAGGCTGCGATCTCTTCATAATGCATTCATAAAGAACATGTATCTATACCTTAATAGCAAACATTGTCTGATAGTGAGATTTTATCGATCCCTTGGGGGAAATTCTTTTTCCACCTACCCCTGCTTGCTCTCCATGACACACATTTAGGTGAGAGTAAGCTTAGCAGCAAAGGGCAGCTGCCTGCAGCATCACCCATGGGGGGGTTAAGGGCTTTGCTCAAGGGCCCACAGACATAACTGTTCTGCCAAGGCTTGAACCGGCAACTTTCCAATTACAGGCATGGATGCTTTACCCACTGAGCCACACGCTACTCTTATACCTGCCAGTAACATACTGCTTATGAATTTCATATGAATGCATAATGACTGCATGATGAGGTTGCAGTTAATGTATAGCGTTACCAAACAAACACATACTGTATACTGCAAGTAGTCAGTAATGGTCAACTTATTCCTGTGCTGCACTGCTTTGTCTTGCTCTGTCTTGTTTTATATTGCAGTGCTGTTCATCCTGTCCCCCGATGCCCTGCCCTGCTACTGTAGCACAAGAATTTCACTGCGTTCCTCAGAACAAATGGGACAATAAAACTAGAAACTTCAACTAGTCTTTGATTTTACTCACTGTTCTCTGATCATTGAAGCAGAATTACAAAATCAGACACAAATGTGTTTTAGGCAAAAAAAATACAGATAAAAAAAAATGTCCTGCATGGAAAATTGCAGCAAAAAGATTTACTTCAAGTTCAACAGATAACATGCTATCACCAGGGGGTGTTTAAAATTAAAAATCCCATTTAAAATGTCAGTTGTGATGAATAGCTTTTGTCAGCAAGTCAAAAATTGCGAATAATTTCTTACAATTATCTTGTTTTTCAAAGACATTAATAAAATTTGCCCATCAAGATAAAACAGAAATGTAATTACCACCCCTTCATTGTTTCCATAAACACACTGTCACAGAGTCAGATCAAAGAGTCAAAGAGTCAGACAATAATGCAGTACTGTACAAAAGACTTTATTGTCCAAGTTAAAATTCAATAGATGTTCTGCTTAAAATACAGAAGATATTGTTTCTCATTTAGAAAAGAAAAAATGCTGTTATGTTAACAATTAAAGACAAAGGAACAAGAGCAATGTGACCGACATCTGTGATTCACGCTTCAGAGCTTGGCTTAAACAGTTCTACCTTCACACCGTGCTCTCCCACACGTGAAAACGAGCGTGGACTGGCGGGGATGTGAATCAGAGGAACACACATCTACGGCTTCCGGCTTTCTGACAAGCAAGGATACGTCGTGAACCGCCAAGCCTGACAGTGATTTGGAAACGGCTGAAAACTGGAATGAAAATCTGAGGCGGAGTGCCTCGGGGACAGAACGATTGTAGGGTGCTATTCATAGTAATGATACGTGGGATACAGCTAAATTCCAGTCATCGAAAGAACTTAGAATGAAACAATAATAAACAGATTTTATTTGGTAGCCTATCATACTCCAGCAAATAAATATACCAAAGTAAATCGATCTAGACTTGTGCTTATACAGTACGATATCAACAGGCCATCCGTACATACCAATGAATCCACAGATATGGACTATTTTACATACAATATAAATCACACTGACATTTTCTCAACACCGAAATCTGAAGACCACCCAGCATTAAAAAAGTTGTCATCTGAGATAGCGTCGGACCAATCAGAGCTGCCCACTTCACACTGGCTCACCTTCCATGGCCAATTATTAAGCTTGAATTGCTTACAGGGCAGTGCGAGGACCTACAAGATCAATCTTCCTACAGATTACACACGACACTGAACACCATCTCCTACGTGGACCAGTCCTAACAATGGCTGGCATAGCTTCCTTTGTGCCGCGCGTCACTATGGCTACTAGAAGAGACAAAGTTCCTGACTAAACTTGTCTTCTGCCACCTGTTATATTCGGTTCCCCCTACACAACTCAGCATCAATAAGACGGATTCTCGCGGTAGCCATTCTATGCTTGCGGTTGTTGCGAGTGCCTTAATTTGTTACTTTTTCTTACGGCACTTTAAAAGCAGTCTGGGGTTCCTGTGACTAGGAAAAATGGGTCATCATGCTGGAAGCAGCGAGGGAGTGAACAACCATGCATGAAAAGAAAACGCTGAGCGAAGATGAATGACATGCAACCCCTGCGAAAACGCAACCCTTCACGCGATTCGGGACCGTAATCAGTCCCACACATTCCTTTCTGCATCTCCCCCTTTCCTTGTCTTATCCACCTTTCTTTTCATGAAGCGAAAAAATGAAAATAAAGATCACGAGCGATTTAATTTGCAAGTCTTCAAAAAAAATCAAATAAATAAAACGTTTTCCCCCTTTTTTTTTTACCAGAGTACAAATGTTCCAAAGAGATCCCATGCTATAAATATTTATCACCATCAGAGATTGGGAGATTTCCTCAGCCACTGGTAGAACTGCTGCTCATAGAGCCGGTGCCACCTGACATTGGCGCCTACGATCTCCACGGCCCGGGCGAAGGCGGCCGCCACTCCTCCGCTGCTGCGGATGAACTCCTTCAGCTGGGACAAACACAAACGGTGGGGGAGGGTAAGTGGGACAAACTTACAAATGGGTCGGCCTGGGAAGGTGGGGGGTACGCTGTGAGATCCTAGGGAAGACGAAAACGCCAGGAATGTCGTGCGCCTCTGGAGCTCCATGCAAAACTCCACCCTGCTGCAGGTGTGGAACGACTGTGCCGACCTGCATCGTTACCCTCCTGTCCTCCACCTCCAAGCTGAACCCAAGGCTGCGCCTCTTCGCAGATAAACGTGCACTGCTCACAGTGAGAAATATACACTAATCCTACACACTCAAGTCCGTTAACAGGCACATGGCAGCATAAGAATAAACCTCATAAGCATAAATAGTACCCCCCCAACCCCCCGCCCCAACACTGTGCCATGTGACACATTTGAAAATCAATCCATCCATCCATCTCCTACCACTTTTCCGGGTCGGGTCGCGGGGGCAGCAGTCTAAGCAGGGAAACCCAGACTTCCCTCTCCCCGGCCACATCGTCCAGCTCTTCTGGGGTAATCCCGAGGTGTTCCCAGGCCAGCCGAGAGACATAGTCTCTCCAGCGTGTCTGGGGCCTCCTCCCAGTGGGACATGCCCGGAATACCTCACCAGGGAGGCGTACAAGAGGCATCCTGACCAGATGCCTGAGCCACCTCATCTGGTTCCTCACAATGCGGAGGAGCAGCGGTTCTACTCTGAGTCCCTCCCGAATGACCGAGCTCCTCACCCTATCTCTAAGGGAGAGCCCAGCCACCCTGCGGAGGAAACTCATTTCGGCTGCTTGTATTAGCAAACTTGTTCTTTTGGTCACTACCCACAGCTCATGACCATAGGTGAGGGTAGGAACGTAGATTGCCTGGTAAATCAAGAACTTTGCCTTTTGGTTCAGCTCCTTCTTCACCATGACAGACCGATGCAGCGCCCGCATTACTGCTGATGCCACACCGATTCACCTGTCGATCTTCCGTTCCATCCTTCCCTCACTCGTGAACAAGATCCCGAGACACTTAAACTCCCCACTTGGGGAAGGACTCCCTCCCCGACCCAGAGAGAGCACTCCACCCTTTTCCGGCTGAGGACCATGGTCTCGGATTTGAAGGTGCTGATTTTCATCCCAGCCGCTTCACACTCGGCTGTGAACTGCTCCAGTGAGAGATGAAGGTCACGGTCCTATGAAGCCAACAGAACTACATCATCTGCAAAAAGCAGAGACCTAATCCTGAGGTCACCAAACAGGACGTTCCCAGCAGACCCTCACTATACACTTGGGCCTGCCAGGCCTGACCGGCTTCCTCCCCCACCAGCAGAGCCAACCCACCACCAGGTTGTGATCAGTTGACAGCTCCGCCCCTCTTCTCGACCGAGTGTCCAATACAGTACATGTTGCCGCAAGTCCGATGACATGACCACAAAGTCGATCATCGAACTGCAGCCTAGGGTGTCTGGTGCCAAGTACACATATGGACACCCTTATGTTTGAACATGGTGTTCATTATGGACAATCCATGACGAGCACAGAAGTCCAATAACAAAACACCACTTGGGTTCAGATCGGGGGGGCATTCATCCCAATCACGCCCCTCCAGGTCTCACTGTCATTGCCCACGTGAGCATTGAAGTCCTCCAGCAGAATAAGAGAGTCCCCAGGAGGAGTGCTCTCCAACACCCCTTCCAAGGACTCCAAAAAGGGTGGGTATTCTGCACTGCCGCTCGGCGCATAAGCGCAAACAACAGTCAGGACCCGTCCCCCTACCCGAAGGCGAAGGGAGGCTACCCTCTCGTCCACCACAGAAAACCTCAATGCACAGGCGCCCAGCTAGGGGGCAATAAGTACCTCCCAGGACTCGTTCCCGTAACACTGGAGATAGGGCCTTTTCCAGTGCTGCCCCACGGCTGTGGAATGCCCTTCCTCTACATCTGAGGGCTCCACAGACTGTTACATGTTTTAAAAAAAACCTGAAAACATTTCTTTTTAACCAATGTTTTTAATGACTACTTAACTAAATGTTTTTTTTTTTTTTTACTCTTTCACTGTTGTTTTTATTGTGATATTCTCTCACTGTCTGTATGCACTCTGAGATCTTCTTTGTAAAATGTAAAGTGCATTATAAATTAAATTTATTATTATTATTATTATTATTATTATAAGTATGCCCACCCCTACTTGGTGCCTCTCCCCGCGAGCAACTCCAGAGTGGAAGAGGGTCCAACCCCCCTCGAGGAGACTGGTTCCAGAGCCCAAGCCGTGTGTTGAGGTGAGCCTGACTATATTGGAACCTCACAACCTTGTATACCAGCTCTGGCTCCTTCCCTGCCAGAGAGGTGACAATCCATGTCCCTAGAACTAGCTACTGCACCTGAAGATTGGTCCCCGCCTTTGGCCACTGCCCAACTCGCATTGCACCCGACCCCTTTGGCCCCTCCTACAGGTGGTGAGCCCATTAGAGGGGGGACCCATGTGCCTTCTTTGGGCTGTGCCCGACCAGGCCCCATGGGTGCAGGCCTGGGCACCAGGCGCTCGCCATCGAGCCTCACCCCCAGGGGGAGCCCTGGTGACCCACGTCAGGGCGAGATAAAACATGTATCCATGTTGTTTCTCATCTTAAAGGGTCTAATGAGCCACACTTCTTCTGGTTCCTCACCCTGGACCTGTTTGCCTTGGAAGACCCTACCAGGGGCATAAAGCCCCTTAGCTCCTGGGATCATTGGAGCATGCAAACCCCTCCACCACAATAAGGCGTCGGCTCCAGAAGAGGACATTTGAAAATGTTAGATGAATTTCCTTGGAACAGCCATCCATTCACCCATCTGCTGTAACTGCTTATCCAGTAGAGTTTCACACTAAGCATGGAGCCTATCCCAAGAAGCATAGGGAACAAGGTAGGCGACCCCTACATCCATCACAGCGTCCCGGTGCATCTTTATAATTCTTTAAACAACTGATAGTCCTGTTGAAAAAAGTATTCAAGGGGCCTCCTGGTGTAAAAGCCCCTAACTCCTGCACCAAAAGCATCGATAAAAATCATTTTATCCAAATCATCAATTTAAAAATAAAGTTTAGCTCATGTAATCAAGGATGTTCTCAGGGGTCGGCATTAAAATTGATACAAGACACATTTTTACCCCTTTATTTCTCCACTCAGCAAAACTCTAATTAAATCAAGGAGAGTGTTTTTGCATGCAAATGACTCGCATATCATTTGGTTAATAATGAAAGTACTAATGGCTATGAAGCGCAAGTCACAAGTGATTAAAGTCTGAAGTAGAACTTATTTCTCTCGGACGCCTTGACACCTTCACGTTTTCGGCAAATTTCTGTCTATTTAGCATTTCAAACTTCAAAAAGCTTTGCGAACCTCAGTAGCCAATTAGAGACAGAAATAGAGCCCTGCATTCATAATGAGGAAACATGAATTTAAAGCAATCCTAATGGGATTTGTATTATGTATGAATATGACAATTAACAAACAATTGCATAATGTCTGGGCCAAAATGGACTGTATGCTAAGGCCTTGATTAATGAATAGATCGTATTCTCCGTCCTTTATCCTCTAGTCCTATGCTTTCACCTGTTTATCAGATAGAATTCATCATTGTTTGGCTCTCCAGGACACTGTACCACAACACGTCTAGTACTGTAACTCACCTCACTGAGTTCTGTCTCCGTGTTTAGAAATTCGGTCACTCCGTTGATTAGTTTGGAATTCATAAATAAGGCCTCGCCATATCTGTAAAGAACAACGTGCAGACATTTCTTACTGATGGTTGGCGGAAAAACCAGCAGCAAGATCACGCGCCACCTTACCTGAATGCAGGACACACCTCTTTTTCATTGCTTTGAATGAGCACCTTTGTGAGGTTTTGAGTCTGGCTTTACTTCCTGAACTTCTGCTGCCTGATTTTCTGAACCATTTCGTTGGATGTGACCCATACTTGATTTGTGTCTTGCCCAGCACAGATTACTGAGCTTAGCTTGAACTTTGACCCTGATTGCTGAAATATATTTTGGAGCTTGTAATTCTTAATTGTGAATCAGTAAACCTGTTTGTTCAGCACTGCAATCTCCTTCATTATATTTCCACTGTTCTGTATTTAAAAATAATACATAATAATGTAGATTTTCTTCTTGGAACAACTGTAAGATGCAGTCAAGTACATCATTTCCTAATATACAAATTGTATTGTGTAAGTTTGTAATTAACCAGCAAATTTAGTACTGCTTGCATTTACTATATACAGTAACTATAGGAAGAATATTATCAAAACTTATATATTATTGATGATAAGATTCTACACTATCCATAACAGGATACAAAACAGAGCGCAACACCAATAAAACCATAATTAAATTTTATGTTAGATTTTGTATTTAAATTTACATTTACACACAGAAATCAATACTTTACGACTCTGAGAATGAATGCAGTTATTATTATGAAGTTATTCATTCATTGTTGGAAAACATCTTAAGAACTATACAAATACACATATTTCTTCATAGATTACAACAAATTCTTTACCTGGAATTTAAAATGTCCCACTTCTCCCTGAAATACCTCCAGGCCAGCTGCCTTCCATGTGGATTCCGACCCACGTGTATGATGACGTCTATAACATCCTGATCTGGAACCAGGTCTGAAGTCAGGGAGAGGTTCAGGAGCCTCAGGAGAAAAACAAAACGGAAGCAAAATGTCTCAAGAAGTTTGGATATATTAACATAAGAACTTTGAAAAGGTACTGACAGGCTACAAAGGCTGCAGTGAGGCCCGTTGCGTAGGCAGGAGCCTGGGAGTGGAAGGAGCTGTGAGAGTCTATGGGGAGAGACGGTTGGGTGGCCAAAACTACTGGGCGGCAGACAATTCAAAGCCTCAAGAGGGGAAAGTGGAATGAATAGTCTGAGAAACTCCTCAACCTAGCGGATATAATGTCTCATCAGGAAGCGGAAATGGAAACTTCTGGCGGATCAGAGTCTATCACTGCACCTAAGACACTATGGTGGTCTGAGGACTCCATAGTGGAAAGATTGTGGGGATAAATGAAATCCATCCAGAGATGTTGAGGGCCAGAGATGTTATTGAGATGACGTTTGTGATACATTCTTCAATGCTGCATGGAAGGCAGGTACAGTGCCTGTGGGTTGGGATAGCGGGGTGGTGCAGAAATTTATGGGTGCTGAGGTCACTGCTGCATGCTATTCAGCCACTGTATAAATGCAGGAAACCTGTGTCCGCATACTTGGCACAAAACCGAAGCCATTTAGCGCAGATGTTAACCACCGACAAGGTCATGTCTACCCCTGTATGTGATTTTCATGGACAGGATGTCAGCGAGCAGCCGGGGCTGGAAGGGCATCTGGTACTGAGGGGTTTAGAGGTGACGTCCCTGCTATTTGCTGATGACACTGTGCTTTTGGCTTCACCCAGCCAGGACCTCCTGTACATATCTCCAGTGGTTTGATGCTAAATGTGAAGCTGCGGGGATGAGAATCAGAACCTCTAAATCAAAAGGCCATGTACACACTTGGAAAAGAGCCAATTGCTCCTGTCAGATGAGGAGCAGAAATGCAACCCTTTAGTGAAGGAGTTTAAAGGCCATGGGATCTTGTTCATAAGTGATGGTAACAGACAGTATGAGATTGACAGTCGGATAGTTTCAGTCACTACAGTTTTCAGAGCACTGAAAGGATCTGTGATGATGGGGAAGCTCTGTCATTGGACTTAGGTCCTGGTTTCCCAGTCAGTCTATGTCTCTATCTTCATGTATGGTGATGACCTGTGAGTCATGACCAAAAGAACAAGGTCGCAAGTAAAGCAGCTCACTCTCCACAACAGGGTGAGGAATTCAGAGATTTGGAAAAACCTCGATATAGAACGCTCCGTCAGATCGAAAGGAACCAGCTGTGATGGTTTGGGTATCTTACTGTATATAATGCAACCAGTTCGACACCCATTTGTTCCAGTGTTCCAGGCACGTCCCACTGGGTGGACACCCCAGGAAACACCCAGCAGGCTTGGGAATGTCTAGGAGACCCCCAAAATGACCTGGAAGGGGGTGGGACAATGTGCTAGGTATGATGCCACCACAAGGTGAACTCCACCACACCTCAGCCATGCATAAACACCAACAACAGCGGCTTGCTGTCAAAAGTTCAGCCAGTAATTGACTGCTACTTATAGCACTGCACTTCAGCTCTCTTGGGTGGGGAGGGGTCAGTCAGAAGGCTGACCTTGAGCATGCGACAGTTCCAACAGGAATCTGTAATGAACTGGAACCGCGAGCCGCAAACCCCCACCTCTCTCAGCTCTCCTGTGGGCCGAGCTTTCAGCTTTTGATGTGTTCATTGCTCTCCTCCAGTGAGACATTCCCCAAAACATCCTCATTCAACTGAACCATCCCCATGTCACATGACATATTCAGTGGTCTGATACGGACTAGTCTTACAAGCAACTGTAAGTAAAGCGGAAAAGCAGCATATCTGTGTGTATCTGTGCTGTGTCAATTTGAGCAGTTAACAGTAGTCCTAGAATACATATATCACAATGTCATACTGTACAGTTATAACGATGCTGCCTGGGGAAAAGCATGTGTCATTCTGTAATTCACAGAGAATTTGCTTAACACACCTGTAATTGTCATACTCTGAATAATCATGACTGTTACACTCATTTAGCTGAAGCATAAGCCAATTAATGTGTAAAAAACTGTCAAGGTGAATTCAGAATTACTTATTATTCCATGTCATTTACCATAGATTAATTTTACGTGCAAGATTATTTTAAGTTGAACAACCACACGAACAGATGGGAGTTAATATTCCATCGCAATTGAAGGAAATGAACTCATACTGTATAAGGAAAATATGCAACACACTAATTTAGTAAGACAAGGCAGCATACAATAGGAAACAGTGGGGTTTTGTGGGCATTTTACATTATCTTTTACTAGGTAATGCCAACATTGAAACACTGAAAAGCTACAACTATACAACAATTTATAAAAAAGAGTGATTTACATCTAGTTCCATATTTCAGTAGTAATACCCTAGCTGATGTATAAGAAGTATAATAACAAAACAATAATAAGACTCTTAGTCTTATAATTGACCTCTTTAGACATTAATATTATCTGTCAAATTGTCTGTGAGCAGACAGTGTAGAGCAGGGGTGTCAAACTGCAGTCCAGGTGGCCCAGAGCCCTGTGTAACTTAGTTCTTTCCATGTTCCACCACAAATGATTCACCTCAAGAGCTGTGTGGTAATTAGCACAAGGAGTAGAATAAGGTGTGTTAAATAAGAGTAAACCAAAAACTGTGCAGGGCTCTGGCCCCCCAGGACTGGAGTTTGAAACCCCCGGTGTAGAGGCTGGCAAAGGCTGAGCAGCCGGTTGCCACTTCCAGAGAGTCATTCTCTGAGATTGACACCACGGTGCTCAACATTGACAGCTTCTGCATTCTGTCCCTCACCTGGCAACCCCATCATCAATGAATAAATAAAATGCTGGTATAATCCCTAAGGTCACACATCACTGACTGCTCACTGAACATACAGACCTTTCTCTTCACCAAAGTGTGTCTGTGGACAGACTCTCTGATGGTAATTTGGGCCTGAACTGACAGCATGCGGTTAATTCCTGATGACAGCTGATTGGCTAAGTTCCACTGTTAACTCTTCATGGCAGCTGGATGGATGATGAAACTGAACAAAATCAAGTAAGTCATGACAATAAGTCATGCCCCCCCTCCCCTACCCCCACAAAACAATGAAGACTCCCAAACAAGGAATCAGGGGGACTTTATCCTCCATGTTCCCTGGACTCAATCTTCTCAATCTATGGATCAGTCGAGGAAAACCCTGATGGAGAAACGGATTCCCGCTGAGAAGTTGACGTGGAGAAGCCTGAACAATCAACATGGCTGATTTTCCAACAACAGGAATATTAAAATGATAGTTGGAAATTATGCCACTGATGCTGAACCCACACAGACCACTCCTCCATCATATTGTTGCCATTTGTACCATATTCACAGAAAAGCTACTTTCAAAGTGCTGTTAGCACATCCAGGTGTAACCTTGCGCCTGAGCCGCTGACACCCTGGCAGCCATGAGGGGGCGCAGAAACCCACACGCAAGCGGCCAATCAGCCACCATCCAGGAGGGGCCTCTCACCGGTTCAGCAGGTATGTATTGTCACTGCAGGTCAGGGCCTCCAGGAGCACCTTCTTCTCCGAGACGGCCGACGTGGAGTGGAACTTCATCCAGATGAACTCCCACACGTCTTCGTCCATGAGGGACACGCCCGTGCAGTAGACGATGTCCCTCACGTTTGGTGGGATCCTGCAGACGTGGACAGCAGTTAGACAAGGACCTGAACTGCAGTTTGACGCTGAAAAAATACCCACAGTTCCCTCTGTTACACTATGCATTTTTTTAAACACAAGGACATTTCCTAAAGTAGCTGAAGAGACCTGAGATTCCTGCATTAAAATGAGTGTTGCAGTGTGTGCTTGGTTTGGTTTCGGTGCCTAGAAGGTTCAAATGCTAAGCCTGGAAGAATAAACATATTAAGCATGGGCCCTTAACGCCGCCCACCCCCTGCTTCAGGAACACTGGCTAACCTGCTCTCTGACCGCAAGCTCTGCTCTCTTTGGACAAGAATATCTGCTTTTGCAAAATGTGTGGGAAATCATCTCATGTAATTAAAATACCCTACGAAACCAATTACCTGCAAAACATGTGAAATAATCATAGTAATTATCTTGTATCCCACGAAAAATAATTACTATGGCGCTCATGTTCGAGTTTTTGAAGAGAAAAACAAAATCGTTACATTTCAGCTCTGCGTCAACAGAGGCTGTTTCTTAGTAACATATCGACGGCGCGTCAATAGCTCGGCTGCTCTGTGGCGACCTTTACCAGACAGCTGCTTCCAGTTTCTGCTAGACAGCGAACTGGCATGAGGACAAGCTCACGTCATTCCCAGTAAGCTCAACGTTCAACCTGAATGATCATATCCAAAAAAAATAAAAGGCCTGATCTGCCACACTCCATTATAGGTCAGCTTTGTGAGCCGCCGAATGAGAATTCACATTAACAGCCAGGTGAGAGAATACATAATTACACACGTTCATCTCCCTCCTTAATAGTTTTGAGTACAAAAAGGACACACAGGCCGAATAATGAGGTATTCCTCTCCGTAATCTTCCCCTGGGCAACGTTTAATGCTAACTATCCTGGTTCGTAACCAACTTTGATTCCCTTCCCTCTGTCAGCACCGCTTTGGGTTTCGAGGCAACCGATAAATCATTGAATCCATTGGCTAGTCATTAGCAGAAGTACACATTCTATGGGGGGAGAGTGTTTACCGAACTAGTGACCTCATTAAATGTGCATAAGAGTGACTGACGGAGAGGCATCACACCCATCCACCACCCTGCCCCCTTCGGAGTACCTCCTAAACTTCCGGCAAACTCACATGCGATAAAAAACATCAGATGCAATAAAAAAAAAAAAATTAAGGTTTGATAAGCAGTGGGGAAAAGCATCTTTCGGGGGTCCTGAATTGCAGCTTCTGCAGTGTAGCATCACAGTGAGCTTAGGGCTCATCCCAGGGAGCACAGGACATGAGGCAGGGCCACTCCCCACAGTGCCATTCACCCATTCATCCAACGTAATTCCATCTAGAATATAGTAGTTTAATTTCTGTTTGATGGATGAAATGTTTTGTGTTACAACAGAGGGCAATAACCTTTGGGGAAACCATGAAAGAAACCAGCACTCTTCTCTGCAGTTATTATTTCAAATGATTCACACCTGATTTGATTTCAAGAAAATGGCGAAATGTGCCGCTAATCACGACCACATGGCACGGGAACGGTGCAGCCGGTTGGAGATTTCATGGACCGCTGGTTCGGAGGTGGGGGGTTGAGGGTGGAGTAGTCTGTGTTTTTTACGGGGGCAATTACCCAGAACGGCAGGTGTGCTCTGGAGGCTAGAGGTCTTTCAGACCTGTGTTTATGGACTCAAGTGTCCTCAGCTCTGGCCAGACCTGTAATTTCTCAAAATTAAAGGCATTCAAAAAAAAAATAAACTATGAACAGCTCTCATTATGGTTGTTTATCTAAATTAAATACAATTAAACACAAAGTTGAATGTCAGGCCGCAGAATATGTACACGCACCATTTATATATGTGTTTTTGACGTTACTGACCTCATACTCACCACCCGACTCTAAAAGTCAAACCCCCTGAGATTCAGAAAATGCAAAGCGGGGTGTCACACTTAGAAACCCTAAACTGAGTCTTAAGATGGCTGGAGGAGCAGCTGGTAAAGAAGGGCGAGGCGTCTCTGTATATCTGCACGCCTCCTGCCTTGTCCTTCATGATAGGGCAGAGGAGGGAGCGGTAAATAATGCAGGATCCTCTGGGGCATGGCGATCTGAGAGAGAGCAACAAGCAGGCTTCCTGTCCGAGCAAGCGGTGTGCAGCCTGTGAACGTGGGAGTCAGGGGATACATGAAGAGGGGGCTGTACCTTTAAGAACAGTGACTCCTTGTGGGTAGGGCATGGTGAGAGTCAGGGGATACATGAAGAGGGGGCTGTACCTTTAAGAACAGTGACTCCTTGTGGGTAGGGCATGGTGGGAGTCATTCAACCATTGCCATGCCCCCCACCCCCTGGCTGGCAAATTTTATCATCATAACCTGCCAACTGACCCCCCCCCCCCCCCAGTCAAGAACTGCCCCCTACGGGCTCCCCAAGACTCTTGACACTATAGTAAGTAATTACTGAATGATTCATATTTATATCAATGGCATAACCGCAGTGGAATTTAATTTATTATGGATACCTTTCTGAGGCGTACTATGGGTCTCACATTTATCAGGTCTACTGAGCACTAATTACAATTGTCCAGATCAGATCGCAGTCAGTTGTAATTTACTGCTATTTGTTTTAAAGACAGGTGATGATGCCTGGGGCTGAGGAGCCCCCGCAGGTAGCCAGTGAGGGAGCCAGTGAGGTAGCCAGTGAGGGAGCCACCGTGATTCTGCTTGCCGGGAAAACTTGCTCCTGGTTCAAGGCCGCCTCACAACTTTGATGAACTTGATGAATTGTTGGTGCAGAACACGAACGCCGCTATTTGGAGAGTGACGCTGCTCTTTTTTTTTGAGAGCTGCAGATAAAAGAAATGAGAAACAGAAATAAAACTAATCTAATCCTGCACGGTTTTTGTTGCCATGGACACCTGGCACCGTGGCAATGTTTGCTGTTGGGTTGCATTGAGCATGCCCAACGAGGTGCAGTCTTACTGAATGCAACACCCTGCCTGCATTTAGCAAACCGCAGTTCTCTCCTTCACCGCTACTCAGAACATCAAATAGGCCCACTGGCTTGGGGTGAACTTGTCATGGGGGCTTGGTTGAAGTAATTTTGTCCCGGGCTTGAAAGTAATATGCAGCAGGTCTGCATCAAGCCTCTTCTGCTGATCCAAGGTCATGTGACCACTGGAGTATTTCCCCTCACTGCTGTATTTTACATTTGCCGCCACAGTTTACCTGGTACCTCAAGCTCCCATTTGTGGACGAGACGACCGCAGAAGATGAGAAACCTTTAGTATGCAGCTTAAGAGTTTATCCCGACCCGATTTAACATGCGAGGGATTAAGCGACCCCATACGTCGACCTTATACCGGACCGTATACTCCAGCAGCATCACCCACAGAATATGGTATCAGGGCAACATGAAACCGGCGATGATTCACCTTGAAGCACCACCAGACAAGCTCACCAGCGAAAAACGTGGTAGAGGATGCGTGGTATTGAAGCTGAGCAATGAGCAGATACTCATAAACACAGGAACGGCTCAGTGGGCAGAACCACCCCTGAAAGGGGTTTGAATCTCTCTGTTTGTGTGTGTGGAGTTTGCAAGCATACATGTGAGTGTGTGCCCTGCCATGGACTGGAATTTCGTCCAGGGCCCATGTGCTTCTTGGGGTGGTCTCCAGGCTAATAGCAGAACCGTGTACCAGATAAACAGTCCAGAAGATGGACTGAAGGATTGAATCCCAAATACAAACTATGTTTACTGGCCCGTAGCCATGGCTGCATTACAGTATATCGTGCAGAAGTTCTGCTGTATAAATTATTTGTTCTATGCGTGATAATGTGATGTAAATGTTACGGTATGTTTCCGAAGCCCAGCACCTGTGATGAATATTTCAGACAGAGAAAGTACGCACTAACAACAGCTGTTCTCCTTTTATAATTAGCAGTAACCCTCTGGGAAGAATTACTGGAGATAATGTTTGTAAACTATGCCCTTTAGTTAATGCCTTAACTTTATCCTTGTCAGAAAGCAGAGATAAACACAGAGGACGGAACCTCGAAATGCCAGAAGGACCATTTGGGCTGTGTGTGCTGCCTGTCTCTGGATGTAAATAAAAGCTCTGTGTGGGTTTGGGCGAATGTTACCGGTTCTTGTTGCTGGATATCCAATCGGAGATGAGGGCGATGGCTTGCCGATGACAGTGCTTGTTCCCGAAACTGCAGGCCAGCATGAGAACTTCCCTCTGTAGCTGTCTGAGTGATTCGAACACAATAATTAGCCACGATAACTAAGGAATCGCAGCTGCTTTGCAGACAGAGACAGCGAGGCGGAGGTTCATACGGTGCGTGGAGCCTTACTCGGTCTGGTAGACCGCCTGCATGACAGAGCTGTCGGAGGAGCTGTTCGGCCAGCCCAGCCGGTGGTACATGGAGGCCACCTGCTTTAGCACGTAGTCCTGGAGACGAGCAGACACAGGGAGGGCAGAGGACGTCACAACTGAGCCGACAATGAGCCTCATCCACGTCAGACCTTGAGAAGCCAATCACAAGGCCATCTGATTCTGAGCTTTATTTTTCAGGATAAAGACTTAATATTTTTACATGACCCAGAACACTGAATGACAACTGAAGCACAAAAAAGTTCATTATCAAACTCTACCTTAATTTCCTGTACTTTAAAAAACATTTTACAGATAAATTCTTAGACTGAGTATTATACAGTGCTGCCTATTCTGTAATCCCTCTATACCTCTTTTTTTGGCAATCTTCCTACCTTATCCAATTAAGTAACCTCCGTAATTATCCAATGAGGGTTAGAGGGATCTAGATAAGAGGCAGGCATAGTTCGTTAAGCACATCATACTAACACATCTTTTACAGAAAAACTACGCAAAGCACTAAAGCTGGAACAATCTCAAGGTGAAATGATCGGCTGTCTTCCTTAAAAATGCTCCCTCGCAGCTGTCGCCATACCAAGCTGGATCCGGTTCTAATGAGCCTCAGAAGCGACCCTCCCTTGTTCGGACAAATTAGAGCGCCGATGGTATGTGGGACATTTGCAGGCTTTTCAGAACGCCGGAATGTCGATTGAACCCGGTTCCAAATGAAGGCTCGCACCTCTCTCATTTAATGGGGGAAACCGATGCCTAGGAAACAAGCTTTTAACATTTCTGAAACTTGCTCCCCCCCCCCCTCCCCAACATGAAGAGAAACAGGCCTTCTGTCTGAATCCTTTGAATATTCAGCACCCAGGATACTACCCTCGCCACTTCCAGCCTTCAGACCATCTGCCGGGGCATGTAACACAAACGGCTGAATCTCAGGGGTCCCTTTGCCGTTTTATAAAGGGCTGGAAAGGTCCTGCAATGTATCTGCAGACGTTCAGCAACAGGGCTGCCTGTGTCACTCAAAGGTGACGAAGCCTTCGGATCAAGCGCCTACAGCTGTAGGCGGAGCTTAATATCATACACATAAAGGCTGTCCTGTTATCATGAGCACCTAGAGACTGCATTGTTTGTCCTTAGGCTTATTAAACCAAAATGTCACTGTGGAACCAACCTCAGTTCATGGCTGTTTTGTGGAGACAGGATGAAGCTCTGACATGCAGCTCAGTCATTTAATGTAGCCTGAGCCATCAGGACTGTCCACATGGCTAAGAAATAATCTGTTAACCTGCTCTGCTGTTCCTTTGCATTTTGGCCTTTTGAGATGAATGTCAAGGTGGATTAGTTTCCATGTTTTAATTTCCATCTTATGGGTGTCCTGCATAGTTACCGCATGGAATTTAACTTAACACGTACTGTGCAGTACTGGCTGTCCTGTATAGTCAAAACATGCAGTTTAACCTCACAGGTACTGTGCAGTACTGGCTGTCCTGTATAGTCAAAACATGCAGTTTAACCTCACAGGTACTGTGCAGTACTGGCTGCCCCTATACAGTGCCGGAGACTCTCTCAGTGGCAGGCTGTAATGGGGCGCTCACATACACTGAAGAGGCTGTACTCTTCGGTCCGGTCCAGGAGCTTGTCCAGCTGGTAGAGGGAGCGGCTGGCCGCATGCCAGGGCAGGAACTCCTTCTCCTGTGGCAGGTAGTGGATGATCTCCAAGGGGATGTTCTGGGGCAGATATCCGGCTCTGGGGGGAACACGGAACCAGCGAGGGCTCGTTGTCACAGGAAACTGGCATTTACTGCTACTAATGACTACTGTCTACAGCACGCAAAACGTTTAAAATTATTTTTGAAAAATGCCTTCATGTTGCTCTGAATCACTCTGGTATCTCAGAAAGATTGACTTTATGGCTGCATCAAACTGAAATAGCTTTAATTTTCCATATGCATTTGATGTCATATGAGCTTTAAGGAAAATGTATGAGATTTTAACATTGAAAAGTATAAAACATCAAACCCTTTAAAACAACAGGGCAGTAATTAGGGACATATAGTGCCACCCATCCATCCATCCATCCATCCATTATCTTCCGCTTATCCGAGGTCGGGTCGCGGGGGCAGCAGTCTCAGCAGGGAAACCCAGACTTCCCTCTCCCCGGCCACTTCACCCAGCTCCTCCGGGGGAATCCCGAGGTGTTCCCAGGCCAGCTGAGAGACATAGTCCCTCCAGCGTGTCCTGGGTCTTCCCCGGGGCCTCCTCCCAGTGGGACATGCCCGGAACACCTCACCAGGGAGGTGTCCAGGAGGCATGCTAAGCAGATGCCCGAGCCACCTCATCTGGCTCCTCTCAATGCAATTCAAGAATTGAATTGGCATCTCTGTTTTGCCGCCTGTGACTGTGTATTTAATGTATTGAACCATTTGGTTTGACTAAAAGGTCTGGATACAGTGATCCTCTGAAACTGTTAAGAACTGATCGTTGTCATTGTTCCCACATCCAGTTTTAATCTGCTGAAGGCGACATGGCGATCCTCCGAAGCATGAAGGGTGTTCAGAAGAAGGTATTTGTTCAAGGAAAGTTAATGCGTGAATAGGGTTACCTTATTTGGTGAGCTGAAAAAGAGGACATGTCTGGGGGTCAGAATATTAACGTTCACCGACCAATCAGGTAGCACTTCTCTCATGAATATTAATGTGTTTTCCTAACGAAAATGTAAGCGAAAATTCGAGTCCGGGGAAACCGGACATATGGTAATCCTTTGCATGAATTTATCTTTGGTCTGTATCACAAAGCTGGATTTTTGGGTTAGCAAGTCAACTTAGCAGGCAACGCAAGTGTCTTTGCTAGCATGAGCCCGAGCAGTTGTCCTTTCCCCGTCCAGCACCCACATCGTATAAATAGCGAATATGCTTGCTCCCATCTGAGCGCCCGTGGGCGTGACGGTCTTAAAATGAGGCGGAGTCAGGTCAATTGTTGGTACATTGCTGAATAAATGTCGGTAACAGTATTTCACTGTTAATTAAGGGATGCCTCATCAAGATTACTTACTTATGCGTGTGCACTGCTTGTCGCACACATAGGGACACGTAACATAGCTCAAACATGCAAAAGACTCAAAATAATAAGATCATGATGTCAAAGATCATCATGTGCACATCAAAATATTTTAAGAAATATATGTCATAATGATTAGTCAAATTCATCAGAATGAGCTAATCGCAGTAATGACGAATGAAATTGGTTATTACAGTGAGGCTATGCGTATCCGAGGTTTACCACAGTCCGAAAAAAAAGTTTAAGAATTCCAGCAACAGTTCATAAGTTTCAAACCATGTGCCCTACTACAACAAAAGCCTGAGATATTTTTAAACAAATTAAATGCTCTCATTAAAGGTTATGTACAGGATCATGATACAATATTTTTCATTGTAAAATGTGTAACAGTAGCCTGTGTTTTTTCATTGTTCTTTCGGCTTTTGTACAAAAAGCATGAATTTCATTGCTCCGTCATTCCTTGATAAATTATATTCTTTCATTATTCATTATATCATCTCTTGAGAATTAGATGTCAGAATCCCTTACATTCAAGAGAGAACAATATTGTTTACTGATGTACAATATATAATTATTGTATTTAATATTGGTAATGTCTTGGTAATGTTAGGATCGGTGTTCAGCGAGCAGGTAGGACAGGGAGAATAATGAATCAGATAAACAAAGATCCAAAGGACGGGGTTTATTTGGGGCAGACGGGCAACAACACCATACATACGTCAATGATAGATCTGGGAATCGGACTGAGACGTGGACTGATATACACAGGACAAGCCGGAAATAACATCAAGCAGCTGAATACAATCAGGAATTGACACGAGGTAATGAGGGGATGTGGCACACAAGAGGATCGTACGAGTCAGACGTGACAGGTAATATATGTAATTTATTTATTTACGATATGTATGTACAATGTATGTAGGTGCAAGCGCACCTGGCTCTTAAAGGGAATGGGAGGTGACACTCTGATTGGTTTGTGACAGGTCATGCCCCAAACACACCCATGACTAATTACGAAACTTAGTACAACCTTTTAAGACCATGTGCCTTCCGCTGTGACTATGTTTCCACTGTTAAACTAGCAAAAATGTGTTGGCCCCGCCCTAAAAGAACTTGAACCTCAGACTGTGCATTTTAACTCGTTAAGATAGGGCCCAAAGTCCATTTAAACTTGGGTACCTTAAGTCCGAGAAGTTATCCAGCTATGCAACAAATCCCGCTTCGTGATACAGGCCCCTGTCACCACTGATTCATGTTTTGGCGTTTGACGCATCGTCTACCTAATCTAAATCAGACAAATCAATTGTCAATATCAGAATCAGACTGACACTATTAAATACTACAAACGTGCTTCCCTTCATTATGAAACTATGTACAGAAGTAAAATCAGGAATTTTATGACTTAAAATGATAGGACATGCAGGTATAGAAAATGATAGATAAGATTCATAATTATAGTTCATTATTATATGATATAAAGCAAAATAAACTGTGACATGCTACACTTAAAAGAGTAATATGTTTCCTATAGCATTAAAGGCAGTATAAAAGCTATTTAAACCAAAACTGTATTATGCATGTAAAGAAATCACCCTATAAATATGTATATTGAGACATTTCCTGTCTCCTCATTAAAGAATGACTCACCGTTTAATCTCCAGATGCTTTTAAAGCTAGCTGACCCCAATTAGTTGAAGAGAGTTTCACCTCATGGAAACTGCCATTTACATCTTGATAGCTTGTTAATTGTTTTCCAATTAAAGGAGGATTTACTTGGTCTCTGTAGATGCTTCTGCAGTCGACCATACAGGAATGCTAACTACCTCCAAAGGGCCAGCGTTCCTGCTAGACTAAAAGATAAATAAACAGCTCTTTAAACGAATTTAACTCTTGAAATGATCAGCTTTTAAATGTGAGCTGAGCACAGATTATTCAAGTAAAGCATTACAATATGGTGCCATTAAGGTAATTATCATTTACTGTAGAAAAATTAAATTTTCTAGTGTTCAAGACTGCTGACTGCTGAACTTTAGTGGGAAAATTGCTTTCAGTTGTGCTGTTGATTGCAGATCTTTTATATTTAATGTGAATCCAGTCTACAGTCATGAATGTGTGGCCGTATGTGTATTTGCAATTATCTCATGACATTTCTGGGTAAACAACCGACAAGCACTGTGTCAACTGAGCCACGCAGGCTAATGTGGTAATTCCTTAGTGCACAGGGGATCGATACACGGCTCGGACATGGATGCGGAATGTGCTGCTTTAAGTTGGCGGAGGGGGTCTTGCCACGTTGCTGTTATTTTCCCACACTCCCCAGACCGACCCTCATGCATAAATCATGGGCCGGACGCTTTGGAGCACGAGTCCGTAATCTGAAGGCTCACCTTCCCAGGGGATCCTTTCACTGAGGTACTTAACCTGAACTGCTCCTGGCAGTGCTTTTTGTCATAATTAAATTGCTTGGTGATATGTATATATATATATATATATATATATATATATATATATATTAACAGTTAACAGTTACACAGCAAAATAACAGTAATTCCACATTTTCCAGTAGTGACCAGGGACGATCCATGGCCTCCAGCGCTTAGAGCCTGTCAGACACACAGATTATCGTCGCAGGTCTGTAGGGGAAAGCATGTGGCCACAGTCCAAGCACAACCTCCTTCCACAAGACCCCCGATTGGCCTGAACTTCTAACACGACATCATTTTGACGATTATTTCATGGCTGGGTGTTGAGTCACCCTCAGTTTTCCTCATAGCAGGCTGAAGTCACCTCCTTCATCAATAAAAGGTAAACAAGGAACTTCCTGTAGTGCATCCCATAACAGAAATGCTTATGAGTCCCCATGAGATGCCTATGTAAAAGTTTACATTTTTCGTCAATCTTATTCAAAATGACTTACAGTAGATGGTACAGTAGATGTGTGCTCCCTGGGATTAAACAGTGCCGTCATGTTTATAATGTAATGCACTTAACAGACTACAAATTTAAGCGTAAAACGGAGCAGTGGTTAGCATTGTCACTTCACATCCCTGGGACTAGAGCTCAAGGCCCCACCATGGCTCTACGTGTGTGGAGTAGGCTTGGGCAGTGTTTATTTTTTCATACCTTCTAGATATTTCATCCGGTATATGGATTAAGACCGTATTAAAAAAAAAAAAAAAAAAAACATAAATCATGTAGGCTACTGTAAACTCCGGAATCACAGACAAGCTAAACGGGCTCATCAGTGTGGAAGCTGAGCGCTAGGGTAACGAGGAGACAAGTCCTTGCTGAAGAATTAAAAAGATCACGCCCTGTTTATTGACACCACTGTCACTGCCTGATCTGTGGCCGCATGTGCACTATGTTTCACGTGCGCTGTGCATGCGCCATATGCCAGTTTGCAGCGCATCCATGGTGCATTTTGTTTTTGTGGCATCTGCATTAGTCCTTGACTTGTTTTTTTTTTTTACTTAAGTCAGATGCTGTACATTATGATATATCGCCTCAATGTCTGTAAGAAAGTTGAGGAGTGTCTGTATTTTTTACAGCCCAAAAGTATGCCAACGTGAATTGGCGCTTGTGTGTGCATGTGTGAGTGAATGGTGTGTGAGTCTCCCCTGCAATGGGTTGGCACTCCATCCTGGGTTGCTCCCTGCCCTGCACCCTTAGGCTCCAGACCCCTCCCAACCCTGAACCAGACAAGCAGCTACAGAAGATGGATGGATGTAAAGGCTGAAATTAATTTGAGTAATACCATTGGCTGTTGTTCTAGATGCAGCCTGAACCTGCAATTGTTTATCTGAAACCAAAAATTATTCTAGAGGCTCTCCACTAATTTATGTTTGAAAGAAAAATAATAATCAGAAAAAAATCTTTATAATGAATGTTCCGGGATTCCACACTGTATCAATTCATTAATTCAGGGAAGTCTTGGGTAATGGAATACCGCAGGCTCATGATTTTATCAACGCATGATGGTTCATTACATTAAGAAGCATGTTAACAGTCACAAGAGGATCAGAACAGTAACCTTGACACTCATTACTGCTAGTTTACAGCCACAATCATAGTTTTTCCAATAAAAATGTGATTCGCTTCCATCTTTTTCCATATTTATGGGAAATGAGGCTTGAAAACACCCAATAGGTAAGATTTACCGCCTGCTGTCACTCATGGCCTGGCTTAAGCTAATGGGACCTAGGGTAAATAAGTCAGGGAGTGACAGAGAGCGCTGGTTCCACCCACAAAGGGTTTCAAAGCCCCATTCATCTCCTCACATCACAGGCAGACACCTAACAGCTGGATAAAAGTTTCATATCTTATACAATCTGCCGCTCAGTTATGCGGCTGCATTTTATCTAAAGGCACTCAGCTTGTGTGGATGTTTTTTCCTTCCTTTGATTAAGTTTACTTTTGTTTTGCTAATATTGGAAAAGTACTAAAGGCTGTGATTCCCCCCTCCCCCAACCTGGCCAGCTGTCATAGACACTGTTTAGCCAGACAACTGACATTTATTTGATGAATGCAATCATCAGACGCAGGACATTCCGGAATAATGCCCTCTGTATACTCAGCAGCAATGGAAATTGAATTGATGGCACCTAATAACAGTCATCAATTGATTACTGAGGTAAAAATAGCTGTCTAACAAGAGTTTAACCAATTGCACAACCTAGTCATTTCACTGGAAGGTTCTGATGATTTGGGTCTTCAGACCTGCTTGGTGGGTAGAGCTACCCATGTCTCCCACTGATACCTTATCAAGCTAGAGGATTTTTTACTCAGTTTTGGGCATTTCAGGTCCTGATGCTACAAATTCAAACCAAAATCTTGGTCTGGATTTGTAGCTTATGGATCTGAAATGCCCAACACTGTTTATACTGTGTTTTGAGATGGATTGCCACACATTACTAACCGGCAACAGCAGAAGAGGTAACTTAGATCAGTAATTTTTCTTTTTATTTCCAGTGAAAGTTTGTGCCAACTTCAGTGATACTTTTAATTGAAGTTATGTAGCTAATGAGTCCAGCACTTTATAAACACAATTTCAAACATCATGCATTTCAAAAAGGTACCGAATGTTAAATACTTACATACACTATTCACCACATCTGTTAAAGTCTAGCTAGAAATGTAAATATGCTTTTTCTTAAACATTCCTCAATAATCCTGGAAGGCAATGCACGCATTGGTAACCCACCTTGCGAGGTTAAAGACGTCATCAATAAGCCCAGCTCTGTTCCCCACAGATATAACCTGACAAAGAAAAAAGGGGGGGGGGGGGTATTTAATATCGACAGTATGGTAATACCCAGCAGAGACTGTGTACAGCTGAGTGGCGGCTGGAGATGGAGGACCACATTACCGTGGGATTCTTCAGGAGCTGCTTAATGAGAAGCTTCCAGTTCTGGAGATCGTAGTTGACTCGAAAGTAACCAGTCTGATTGATGTTTCCAAGCAGCCACATGCTCTCATCCATCAGGCTGATTTTGTGTGACTCTAAATAATAATAATAATAATAAAAAAAAATACAGACAACAGCCGTTTCTGATTATCACATTCAGAGGGTTATTGGTGCCAAAGACCAGCATCGTCACGGGAGCAAGGCTTAAAAATAGGAGCTTGTTTATCAGAGGTTTTGGGTTATGCAAGGTGGGTGCATAAGAGAGACCATAACTCATAGACAGATGTCAACCTTATCATTAGCCAATGATATGTTTTGAATTGGTGAGTGACAGGGAATAGGATATTCCGGGGGCCAATTAGCTTTCAACTGCAGCCAGTGTCTCTTTGGCCCCGCCCCACTATACGCTCATTATTTGTCCAGGTTCAAGACAGTTCAAAACGGAACCACAGAGCGAATGACAGGAAAGGAAGACACTGGGAGCCTGAACACTATCGCACATTCATAAATAACGGGGCCAAAAAATGATTTCCCATCACCCAGTGACAAAAAAGAGAATAGTGCATTATGCTAATGTATGACGCATTAATAATTGTAAGAATGTGTGTTACAATTCCTTTAACAAAACCCATTTTGGTGTGTGGACTGAGTGAGGAAGAAGAATAAGAAACAATGATTTTCAGAGGATTAAAGGGATCCGGAGAGGAAATCTTCTAGTTAATATTTCAGGCAGCCCACGTGCGCACAGCTTCATTATGGCCGCGGCCTCCTGCCACACATGTGTGTACATCTTCTAGCCAAGTCCTGGTGGAATCACTAAGTGGATCTGCTGACGGCAGTTTGATGTGCCCGCTCAAGTCAGCCGCAGCCAATTTTAAACAAAAATTTAGCCAAAGGCAGCCACACATATTCCACGTGTGACTCTGCCTCTTTGGGGGTCTGATTAAACATCGGTATGGGTCGTCTTAGCTCGCGCTGCTACGGAGGCAAGCCCTCCATGAATTCATGCTAAGTGCTACAATAAGTAATTACAGAGGTGGACATTTCGACATCTGGATCTTCCCAGGGTGCTTTTCTGCTGGGAAACACTTAACAAGCTAGGTACAAAAATCCACTCTAAACCAAAGACCTTGTGTGGATTACGGACCATGCAGGACTTCGCACCCCGTAAGTGGTTTGTCACCTTACCATTGTAAGGACAAAATCCTAATTAAGCCGAGTGATTGAGAACATGCGGCTCCGAGTGACACAGTAATTTAAGGGCCCTTAATTTAACTGCAGCCTTTCCTGCAATGCATGCTTGGCTGTATAATTGCCCTGCTGCTCAGGCCCGACGTTATAATCGTAATCGGAGTGTAAATTTTTCTGACCATGTTAGGAGAAAAAAAAATCAATAGGAGACAAGAGGCATTGGCTTCACTTATTTGTGGTGCATGCTCAGCTAAAAGGGCTAGCCGTTAGCTTTTCACTATCCGCTGCACGACTGGCTGGTCAGGAAGATGGGAGGGGGGGTTGGGGGGACGACAAAACCCAGTGCCACCCACACGCTCTCCTTGGGCTTGTTCACGGTGTGCCTGGTTGCAGCAGAGGGAGGACCTGGCCAACGTGGATGCCTGTTTATGTACATTTACCTGTTCTGTTGGAGATCCAGATGATCGATTCCGGGGATATGTGAGTTGAATTTCCGATGGAGAATGAGAGGGGAATCTGCCACTGAAAACTGGAGAGGAACAAAAGTGTTATAACGTCACAGACCGAATGCTGGATCCTCCTCTCCCACTGAGCAGTCTGCGTGTGAGAAAACCAGCGGTTTATAATGCCGTCCAAATGGTTGGGTTTCACATTAAGCTCAATAACTGAAAGCTATGCACTGTTCCGGAGCCGTCTGACACCTGTCTCTCCACTCTGGCTGTATCTCTGCTTCAGGCGTACTAAACGAAGGGGCTAAGCTAACTGACAGAAACTTCCGCCTTTCCACCAGCCGTCACGTTGCTTTCTGCTGGTGAAATGATGAGGAATATCGGTGTGCACACCCTGCACATAACGAGCCATTAGGCCTTGACATAGAAGTCAAAAGAAAATGGCTTTCGTGTGTCAGATGGTGCTACGTTCTTTGCTGGAGTGGGAAACAGCAGTAAGTCTTACGATTAACCATTAGAAGCTGCTCATCAATGCTTCATCTCCTGACCGATCCACTTCCAGCTCTGATCTGTAGCTAGTTATGCAGACTGTTAGCCGATGATGTGGGAACAAACCTTGGTAGCACGTAGTTTAAGGGCGATTTCACACACTTCCCACACGGACAATAAAAACAATTTAGTCGCCAGCTTACCTCTTCGGACTTCAGGGGAAAATAAAGAAGCGGAGTACAAGCCCAAGTGTGGGAAGGCATCACAAACAAGCCCAGAGCTATAAGCTGACAGCCCCACCTGCTGTGGCACCAGCCGCCTCTTTGGGAACCCATTAGAAGGCTCCGGAATCGACCAGGCCGCTGCTGTGCACAAACCGCTGAGAAAGGAAACGGTACGCAACTCGTGCGCCCAGCGGAGATGGATTCATCAAGCCCAGCTGACGTGTGTGATTGATGCCGTGGCTTCAGCAGAACAAATCCTGCCACCGCCATCATTCTTGGAACAATTTTATTTACACAAAAATACCGTATATATTTTAAAGCATGCTATAAATTCATCTAATATTAAAAAATCACCCATCAATCTTTCATAACTGCATATCCAGCACTGGGTGTCTGTGAGCCTACAGCATATTGGAGGAAGAACAAGGCAGGAGACATGCAAGGACACACCAAGGACACCAGCACCTCTGATCTGTGGGGGAACCTGGAGTAATGAAAGAAAAACCACGCAAACACAGTAAGAAATGCTAAAGCTCAATGTGCTACTACAAAGTTATCTAAGAAAGTTACAGATATTGTCTAATTGATTGTCCTATCAAGATTTTGGTTGTTCCAAAATCCATCCCGTTCCAGGTCAAAATCACTCAATTACCAGCCACTCTGAAGATCAATGAAGATCAATTGACCTAATGAGATTAAGATCGGTTGAAAAACATCCATATTTCCCGAGCAAAATGTTTCTTTCTGGATGCAGGCAACCCTTAGTCTTCACATCTGGAGATCTCTGGAGACCTGGATGATCTTGATCATAGCAACCCAGATGGACATGGTATGGGTCTTATACATGCTCTAATGTCGCACTGGAAATCACACGGATGATATTCTGCTTAAGTGTCTGAGATGCTTCCAGGAGAGCAGTACCTGCTCAAGGTAGGTTCTACTAATCAGCTCCGGCATAGTCGGTAAATACAGTGCACATGTGCTTATCTCTCTGTTCATTTATAGCCGCAGCAGAGTTACTGTAGACCTTAAGCCGTGTAACACTGGTACATCCACCTCCTTCTTCTTCTGCCCTCTACTTTATTAAGCCCAGACTTCAGGGGCTTCTCTGTTGATTTCTGGGAGACCCTGAATAAAGTGAGTTGGCTTCAGGTGCAGGAATCTCAAGACAGCCCTGCCCACGATGTCCAGCTTTAACTCCATTTTAATCTTTCACTCGGTGGGTGGGTGTGGGCATGAGCGTGGGCGGAAATCTCAGAAAGCAGGTCGCTAAGCATCACACAAGTTTAATAGTAATCTTCCTTCCTCTTGGTAGCTCAAATGCAGTCCTGTTTCACGTGGGCCCTGCTGGTAACGAACTACACGGCCTTGCAGGCTTTTTCTGCTGGTTCCTTTACAGTGTCTCTAGGGTAACAAGGTAACAAAGTAATTATTAATTATTAATTATAAAGATTTTTTTCTGATTATTATTTTTCTTTCAAACATAAATTAGTTTGAATAATTATTATTATCGCTGGCCTGGCACCAGTCCAATGAGATTTCCCAGAAGGCCGTTCAGCTGGCACCTTTGCAGGGACTTATGCAAAACTAACGAGGAAGCTCAGCCCATGACCTTGGTCCATAAGAGAATGTCGTTCTTCTGACGGCCGTTGTTACAACGTGTCACCTCTTCATATGGCATGCCGCAACTCTTCCACCCTTACCCAACCTCCACCCTCAGCTGTTGTCCGCAACTGGACAACGCGTCCCATCTGCAGCGCCTCTCAGAGGACATCACAGCGAAATAAAGACAGACGGATGGATCGATCATCACCCTCGCTGGGCGGCACACCAGCAGGGAATCCTCTGGAGTTTAGGAAATCGCTGCTCTGCTCCCTGTGTGTGCAGAAATTCCACAGCTGCTGGCATGTAACTCGTGGCATATGGGCCCCATAAACCGGGGCTATTTACGCACCATTACTCGATAACCTTGAATCATCATTGTTGTTTACTCGCACTGCTAAGATGCACTGGCATCCCATGCAATATGCTCGTTCCTTGTGCTCCATGCTTTCTGGGATAGGCTGCAGGTTCACCAACATCCTGCACTGGATGGATGGATGGATGGATGGATGGATGGATGGATGGATAAATGCTGGCACCTTAAGTGAAATTACACAATTTACCTGGTAAGAGCCTAGCATCTCCACATGTGAAGATGCAGCTGGTTCCACCTGCTTGCTTTCTTACATATGCTCTTATTGATATCTGCTCTACGCCTTAATGTCCAATTTGAAGCCAGCAGGTGAGGTGTGTAGTGGAAAGGTACCGGTGTGTCTATTATGAAAAGTAACATTCAGTAAGACTGAACCACAGTCTACACGTCCACATTATAGAATGTTTTTACTATTGTGTCGAAGGCTAGTGGAATTAGATTTACAGGCATACTTTGCTAGGGGGACAGATGAATAGTGAAACACAGAAATGGAAAAATTGAAAAATTGACTAGATGGGAGACTGGACACATGAACATTTACTGAACCTGAAATATTACCATTCCCACAGAGACATATGGAAATAAGTAAGTTCTGCAACCAATATGGAAGTTCTGTTTGTTAATGGATCAGTCCTCTTGGGTCAGAACAAGGCGACATGTCACAGAATCAATCTATTGTCAATGCCTGTAGTTGAGTAACCAGGTGTACTGCTGGCTTTGGGCTTTGAGGAGGAATTTAAAGGATAGTTAATGCTTTCTTGTGCTACAGCCCAGATGAGATGCCTCCCACGCATCCAGGAGGTGCATTATACATACAGAACGATGCAAAGGTCTCAGGCAGTCAAAGAAAATGATGTTTAAATGATCTTCATGTCGGTGTAAAAATATGATTTTTAGTCTGTCAAAGTGTGTTACGCATTTCAAACATCACCCCAGTATTGGCAGCAACCATCCAATACACCCATGCATTTTGTGATTTCACCACCAGTAAACCTTGTCTGGCAAATCAATACCTCATTAAGTTATTTAACTAATTTGGTTAATTAATTACCTGAGCTGATGGTGACTCAGCTGCCCCTGAGTAGAGATTTTGAATTGAAGAAGGATGAAGAAATACTTGTTATTTCTTTATTTTATTACTGTTAATTTATGTATGTTTTGATGTTATATTGTGATTTGCTTTTTTTCTGAGCAAATATACACTCACTATGCAGATAAACAGCTCTAAACATTTTCTTTGGCTTCCTGAGACTTTTGCACAGTACTGTGTATAATGTAATACACAGTGTATAGCGTATATACAGTATGAACATGATACCTCACCATTTTAAATTAACGCCATTTCAGGATTAGATCTAAGGTCCATTATATTTTCCCCAGAAATGGCCGTATGTATCTTACACATCAGGGCCTGGTTTCAGGCAGGTGAGACCCGACTTTCTCTCGCACAACAAACCGATATGATATGCACCACCTTACAATGTCGTACCGATAGCAGGCATCCTTTTGATAAAAGGCCTTAGGCCGAACACTGTGCTTATTTATTCATTTTATATTTTATAGGTAATAATTAAGCCGACCTGCATCTCCACGGCAGAACAGATGGATCTGATGAGCTGAGCTCAGCAGACGCCAAAGAAAATGGCAGCCAACCTTTTTGTCTAAAATCTGATGATTCCAAGTGCCCACCCCCCTCCTCCTACTCATTTTTAGCTGCCTCCCCTCCTTCCTGGGGGTGGTGTAACAGTTACTTCACCTCCACCCCCCACCCTCCACTCCTGCGGCTCCTCCCTGCGTCCTGCCGGCCTGGCTGACGGAGATCATGCTCACTCGATGCCGGAGGCTTGCCGGAGAGGGCCCACTTCATATCGATTTCCAAACAGCCTTTCATTCTTAACTGCTGGCCCTGACCGGGAACACTGCGGGGGGGATAGGGGCCGACGCCGCGGAAGTGTGCATCCACGCTGTGGCGGCTGACAGGAGCGTGGAGAGCGGAACTGTGGGCGGCGCATCTCGCTGCTTGCGGACCTGCAGGAGGCTCCACCACGTGCTGCCCGGCGGATCCAGATAAACGAGACGTGGGGAGAACGTGTCAGGTGTAGATCTGAGTTGCTTCTGGCAGAGCCAGACTTCCTCATCCTGAATAAAATAGGCACCTTGATTCGCAAAAAGTTAGAGCATCAGCCATCAACCAGCCAATAAGAAGGTGAAAATCCACATAAACAAATATTCCCAGCATCCTCTGTGACTGATCAGGGTTTTGCTCCAGTGAGGTGGTGACAGTTTATGGAGCAGCAGTATTCTCTGGTGGTAGAACTGGAGGCGAAATCCAGAAGAAAGACACCCAGATGTGAACATCCCCCGAGCACGGAAATATCTCCAAGCAATCACGTCTATACATGCGGATGGGTGACAGTAGCAGACCAACCGAAACACGACGGATGGAGATTTACCCGAATCTCACATGCCGTCAGGTGGACGGTTAGGCTTCCTAAAATATCTGTGTTTTTAAGGGCCTGTGCTGTAAGTGAAGGAGATTCCAATTTCTACATTGTTTCGCTTCAGCCAGGACCCGAACAAGCCATTCCTAAACTGGTCCAGAAATGATGCTCAATAATTCACCTAGACATAATGAAATATTAAACTAATTCCTTCAAATTAAGGTTATTTCCACGCTGTGGCTTAATCTGACAGAAGAACATAGCTGAATGGATACATCAAGCCTGACTGATACAAACATGTTGCCTCAACCACTTGGAGAGCAGATCGGTGTTGGCTTATCCTTATGGTCCATATTCTTCCAGATCCACTCTTCCCATGAGTGCCTCTCCTCCCTCTCTCTCTCACTGACTTTCGCTCCTGCCCACGCAAACAACATCAAACCTGCTGACTGTAGCGCTACGGTACCACCCGGCCCGTTCTCAAATGCCAAAAACCACTGTTTCACAAAGTCAAAGAAAAACACAGAAAAAACTGAGAAATACTTCAACGGAAGTATTAATGATGCACCAACAGCACCACAAGGGCCTTGGTGCCTGGGGAAGGAGCCGGGCAGTGCTTGAAGGCACCTAGGGGCAATACCTCGCCTTGAAGACGCCCGGGTTCCTGGTCTTAGCGTCCGCGTCGTAGACGAAGTGCTCTTGGCTGATGATGACGCTGTTGTCCAGGGAGTCGTTCTTGCTGATGGTGACCACGGGGTAGCCCATCTGTAATGTCCAGCAATCCATCACCTCCTTGATATTGATTTCCTTCCCCTCCCTCTGCAGGGCCTGGAGGGACAAGCAGCCAGATGTTTACCAACAACAAAATTAAACAAAAAAACTGCCTGCTTAACCCTGTCAAAAGTAATTCTATGAGTATATCAGGGTGCAGCGGAACAGAGAATGACTATAAACCCACACTCACTTCAAACATCTCGTTACAAAACATGTGAGGGTGACTCAGTGGGCAGCACTGTCACCTCACACCTCTACGGTTGGGGTTTGCGTCCCACTTCCGGCTCTATAATGGAACCATGTTTCAGGTGCTTTAGACTGCAAGTTAATTAGAGGCATAAAGACTGTTTATCCACATTAAATGATGGGATTCAAACATTTCATAAGCCTCCATCCTCCACCAGTCTCATTTAAATATGATTATTATAGGCACAAACACGACTCTCTAATAAATAAGCTGTTATGGAAGATGAACGGATGGATGCTTATAGGTGCAAATAAATTATCAGGTGTTTGTAATCATCAGCTCTGTGTAGCCACTGCATTAGACTGAACACGTGGGCAGGATTATCTATAATTCAGCAAAGTGAAAACAGAGAAAAAACAATGCATTCGCATAATGAATAAATAATGAACGAATTTGTCTCATTTGCTGGTTTTTTCGGGGGCGAGTCGGGCTCCTTCACGGAGGCTTTGCTTCGTTTTTATTTCATCGGGACGACGACTGATTAATTCTTTTGTCAATAAATGTCAGGCTCCCTCCACGTTCCGAAACACTTAGTCGCCCCACGGTGTCGTCCGCAGAGGGCTCCGTGTTTAAATATTTACCGACAAACAAACGGCCATAAATATTTATCTGTTCCATGGCGCGCCCGGCCTCTTAATCACCGTGACGCACTGTCGCCTCCGCGGGCCCTGCCCTCACGGGTGAATAAATGGAGTGGATAAATGAGGGTGTGAGTAAATTACACACCCCACAGAAGCGGCACGCAGGAACACAGACTTAGGCCCGCCTGCCTAGCTTGCTCCCGGCTCCCTGGGGCACCGACGGGCTGCAGGATAAGATCGTTACACGGGGAGGGGAGCCAAGGAGAACTGGGGTGCGACAATGTGGCTGAGCGCCGCCTTTGGGGCGTGTCAGGCTGCTGCGGCAAACCACATCCCTTTAACAGCCAATGACGGACCTGGATTCCAGCAGCCGGCAAATGACTGGTTGTCGCGGGCAACTGATGTCAGCGGATTTGTGAACTGGCTAAAAGTTTACACCACACTAAGGATGTGAACTAAAAGCACTGATCATTATCCACTATAGCGTTTACAGTACTAGCTCCTTTAACAACTACAAATGAGAGGATGTGCAATAACTTTCTAAAAGTCAATGAAGAAAAAACAGAGATGATAATTATAGACCCCCAGGCAATGAGGGAGAAGGTAACATCAAAGCTGGATAGCCTAGTGACCCAGTCTAAATCACATGTCAGAAATCTCGGTGTAATCGTGGATTGTGATTTGAATTTTAAAAGCCATATTCAATTTGTTACCAAGATGCTTTCTACCATTGGAGGGACATAAAGTTAATGCACGCTTCCATTACTAGTCTCCTTGATTATTGCAACACCATTTTTGCCAGCTTACCCAGTAACACCACTAACAAATCACAGATTGTTCAAAACGCAGCAGCTAGAAAACTCACAAAAGCAAACGCATCTTCACACCTTCTTACGGCCCAGAACCTCACGTTTAACCATCTACACGCCCCCTAGGAATGTAAGATCTTCCAGTTCTGAGGTTCTATATCTATATCTATCTATCTATCTATCTATGTAATGTTTTTTTAAATCTCACATTTTGTCCCTTTCTAATCTTATACCTTAATGTCTTTTATTGGACTTTAATTTAACTCTTTAATCTGTTTATCCCTTTTTTAATTTTCATTTCACCTTTTATTGCATTAATCCTGTATGACTGTTGTGTGCTTTATTTGATCATTTTACATGACCTTTCTGCAGTGTCTGTTACCCATATCACTAATTGGTTATTCTTAATGCCTCTTCTCTTTTTCCTTCTTGACTATTACCCAACATGTAAAGCACTTTGAAGTGCATTTCATGTATGAAAGGTGCTATATAAATGAATAGTATATTATTATTATTATTATTATTATTATTATTATTATTACTGTATTATTGTAACCGATTGTGCACTTATAGGATTGGGGTGTGCCTGGACCCAATAACATGCTGGGGGAGTCCCTGATGGGGTTCCAGCCCAATGCAGGGCACACACTGTGGGGAACGCAGAGCATGTCCTGGGACTGTTGGAGGAAACCCATGGAGAAACCTCAGTGCCCCCCCACTGAGCCACTCAATCACCTTCATTATGACATCACAGTTACCACAATTCTTATTGTTTACATTCTCTCATTGTTTTCCTTCTTCTGATTGGTGTTCTGGTTATTACTGGCCCACCTTATAGATGTTGCTGTCCAGGGTGCAAAGCAGACCTCGTTGTAAGGCTGAGCTCTCCATAAAGCGCGCTCATGTTTCACTAACACAATCTTGGACGCATTACCTCGGAAAACTTGTTCCACAGATCGTCCCTCGCCGCGTTGCCGTACATGTGTGTCATCAGATAATCCTGCAACGAAGAAAAGAGCCGTTCACATTATAAATCGGCGACTCTCTTTATCACATGTACAGGGACCGGGCGTCAGCTGCCAGCACCCTTCTCGGGACGTCCCGACCCGGCGCGGCTAATCCGCGGCACAGCATCTGTGTGATTTATGCAAATTGTGGCCAGCTGTTTGCGGGAGATTTACAGGAATCTTCTGGGGGAGCGAAGACGGGTGCGAGGCCGCAGCCACGAGGAAGCCAGCTTACACACAGCGGATTAAAGTAGCAGCCGCAGCGGCACGCTTAAACCGCCCCAGCGCCCCTCTCTGTCACATTGGGGGCGGACCCCCGCTATCCCCGCTGCCATTAAGCACACTAATGCCACACTTCATATCCCATATGGATGAGTTTCATATTTCTGTGCTTTTCTGCTAGAGGGACTCAGGGCATTTCACAGGGAGCAAAGAGCAGGAAAGCATAAACAGATAAAAACATTACATGTAACAATATAAAATGTAACAATATAAATGTAACAATATAAATGTAACAATATAAATGTAACAATATGAAATGTAAATGTAAAATATACATATGTTGAAGGAAACAGTAAACAAATCAGTCATTTCCAGAGCTGTGCTGCTGTTGTTATATAATACACTAGATACTGAGCAATATCATTCCTCCATGGAGCTGACCAAATTCGCTCTTCATGCTTATAACCAGAAGGTCAGGGGTTCAAATCCCGTGGCTGTCAGAATAACCATATCACCATCAGGCCCGTCACCCTTTCACCCCGAAAGACCTTTTACCCTGAAAGTTACTCCAGGGGCTCCAGATAAATGGCTCTCCCAGCACTCTGACCCCGAGCTTCACGCTCACCTGCACATGTCCGTGTGTCTCATAGGAAAGCAAGCTGGGATGTGGGAAGAATTTTGTTGTACTTGTGCAATAAAGGCATTTTATTCTATTATGTTATAAAATTACCTTGATTTGTACCTGTAACCTGTAACCTTGTCACATAAACGGATGTTGCTGTCAGGGGTAGGATGTGGATTTGCTAGGGGGTGGGGCAAAGACAGATGACACGCCCCGTTTCACCCTCAATCATTTAAACTTGCACTGCCCTAACCCCCAACCCCAGTATTGCCTGCCAGCCTGCATGTTATTACCCCTCCCTGTCCTCTGTCAGCCCTGTTTTCCCCGTCTGCCTCGCCTTCACTGCCCCCCCCAGTCTCACAAGCAAAAGCCCTGTGTATCACAGATCTGCTCACCATCCCAGTTAAGGGAAACCCTGCAGATTTCGGCATTATTTGTATCCTAGTGAAAATATTTCATTCCAGTGCTATTCTCCCGGAACAAAGTGTCACAGTGTGTCACACAGCACAGAAATTAAGATATTTAACCACCGAAAAACAGCGTTTGGGTGGGGGGGGGGGCTGTGACAGAAGCAGAGACGCAGAAGCGCTGGCGGGGCTCCCTTCAGCTGCGCTTTCAGCTGAACGCCCCCCAGTGTTAAAGGAAACCCACGGGACTCGCTAGACTCTGCACTGCACATAACACTCCCCCCCCCCACCAGTGACAGGAACCTAGCACCCTGCAGCGAGGGACTGGCACAAGGCCACCAGAGACACCCCCCTCACTCTGCAATCGGCACATCCACAAAGATTCAGGGAGCTTCTGGAATCATCCACGCCTGAGAGAATCACGCCGTAAAGGCAGCACTGCGCTCTGCATGGAACAGCTGAGAGACAGCCCCCCCCCCCTTGTGGGGGGTAGATCAGGGTGGAGGCCACACACGCTGCTGTCTTTCTACCTCTTATTTTAAGACCCCCCTCCCACTCCCATACACTTTGACTTTTCCCCGTCAGCCACCGGCTGCCCTCTGGCAGCACTGGCAGGGGTGGGGGGCCTCTCTCGGGAGCTGCCTGTCACTGCCTTTTCCCACAGCGTCAACACCGCCCAAATCCCGGCGGCCATCGCAGCATGGGGGAAAACGGGAGCGCTAACATGCAGCTCCGTCTCACATGCCCGTCGCCCCCCCACATGCCAGCATCCCCGCTGACCAAAATAAACTGCGGCTCGGTACATGAAATCCTCACAGTGCCGGAGTCCGGCTGCAGGAAGCTGGCATGCAGGTCTGAGGGTTTCCCACACGGCAGGGGAGAGCACCAGCGCTTTTCCGGCCCCACGGGCAGCTCCCAACCCCCCCAACCCCATCCAAGAAAGCCAGAGTCACTCCAGGAATGCTCCGGAATTCCAAAACGCGCGCTGCCTCAAAAAGGCGGGATTGACGTGCGCTTGTGACTTCCCAGACTCCACTGGCTGCTCTCCACTCACGGTGCCTGTCTGGGGAGAGCATGCGGCACACTCCAGAAGACCATCACCCCAGCGACCTGCTCAACTTCCTCCACCTTCCTAGAGTTCAACCCCAGTAGGACGAGAACATTTTCCACCTCAGAAAATGAAAGCACAAAGATATTCTCAGTACAGAGACAAATTTAGCTTTTAACTTTCTGCAGGGATGACTGTGAATGTGACCCATTTACGCTGTACTCCCTGTTCGGATTAACGACAAACTTAGCACGGGACTTCGTTCAGTGGGCCGAAACTGCACATAAAAGTCAGGTGGTGCATGATGGTGCACTTTCAAAACCTTAGAGGATTAAACATGATCACACCATCTCCACACACTAGTCAGACCCCATCTCTCACTCCAGAAGCGTCATCTGCATGCCTCTTTCATTTTCTGTCTTCGCCACTGCAGTGTTCTGTTTTCTTTTTACATTGATTTGATGGTTTACTGAGTTAATTTGGTCAGTTTTTGCATCAAAATATCAGTCGAGCTCCAGACAAATTACTCAAATAACAGACGTTTAGATTGGATTCTGCTCTCTCCATAATTAGCTTGCAGGTGAGTATAAATTCTTATTAAGATACTTGGTAAGTGCAAATTCTGCATCCGTGGGCAACCTTCATAACACATTGCCAAGCTTAATGCAGATCTATACTGCAGTTTATAAGCAAAACAGAGGCATATCAAGGTATATTAGGGGCTATATTTATGATTTATAGTTTATTGCTTATTTCACTTTCCAGTTCTGAGCTTGGCAATAGGTCTCTTTTGGCCTGATTTGATAAGCGATTAGAACATTTTGTTACGAGGGCAATCCCCTCTCCACCTATTCGTCCGGTTATTCCAGCCAGAGGAAGGGGGCCCATGCAGGTCAGTGCTCGTGCTCCCTCCCGAATATGGCATGTGGCTGCTGCGGCAGAATCGTTTATTCTGGATTGCGATAATTGAGGTCACGGTGTCAGCGGTAGTGCGACGCACCTCTCCCGCTGGAATATAAACATCTTCCGTGCATGCGGGCAATTCCAGTGGCCCCAAATGACCAGCCATTGCCGGGGGGGTGGGGGGGTTTGGGTGCCTGAGTGGCACATGATAGAAAATGAAGCGACGTTTAGAGACTGAGTTCTCATGCAAAACAGGGGAAATGTCAGTAGCATCAACAAGCATTATTTTCCATGTTATTAACATCATTAACGTTATTTTCCAGTCCCACGGTGGCACTGCTGCCTCGTACCTTCAGGGCGGCGCTGTTGCATCACACCCCCAAGGCAAGCTTCTACCTACGCTATACATATGGAGCTTGCATGTTCTCCTCTCCGTGTTGTGTGGGTCTCCCTCATGGAATCTGCTTCATCTCCCAGTCCACATGCATATGCTAAGGCTACCTAGCATCTCTAATTTTCCTATAGCGTGTGCATGTATGTGCTGAACCTGCGTAAGAGATTAGAAGACAGATGGATTAATAATCTTACCTTAAATTGCAGCAAATATTTTTAGCCATCCAACCAAGATTAAGCAGTACAGATTACCCCCATTACGGCTAAATGCTAAACGTAACTGTCCCGGCAGCATTGGCTGCTGTGGGGACTGTTTACACTCACGTGTACACAACATACTCTTTCAGGGGGAACAAACATTCTAGATCAGCCCCCACCTGGGTCTAGCTAGCTCTGCAGCATCTGGCTGCAGTGAGATTGGTGTCTGTTTGGTATCCTTGTTTTGCATTACTCTGTCGAAAGACTCAACAAAAAAACAAACAGCAACAAAAAAACAAACAGCAAAACAATGACCTCATGTAGTGGTTTAAGGCAAGAATTCTGTCTTCATGCTCTTTCGTGTGGAGCGGTGCATGATCACGCTGGATTCCAAGAAATATGCTTCACTTTATGAATAAGTAATATGGTAACTGTTATGCAACACGCTAAACAGCACTCACTGATGATGTTACTAATGGTTAGTCAGCAACTTATTCCCCAAAACACAAAACCAAAATGCTGCTTTATTTTGCGTCATCTGACGGGCTTTTTTCTGAATGGCTGAATTTGCCTTGATCTCCCCAAAGTGCTGAAGCCTTTTCAAGATCCCCGCGTTCCTGCGTTACACGCATCAGACCGAGCCGCAGAAAAGCTGGCAAATTCGCAAGAAAATAGAGCCGCAAACTCAAGAAAGCTTTGGCAGTATAAAATAGCAAAACTTTTAATACTAGTATGTTTTAGTTATATGTGTTATTTAACACCGTGATCCATTAGGTTAGCGCAATGTCCCACTCCGGAAAGGTCCCATCTCACACCCAAGGAATTGGGCCCATCTCCCGGTCCAAATGAAACTGCCAGGTCGATCGGCATGTGTTTACACAGTTGTGGGGGTGAAGTTCATCTCAAGTGACACAATTCCTATTGCCCTGGCCTGGACTCTCTTTACCGTCAGGTTCATTTAGCGCAATGAGCCAGAATCTACCCCCCAATCCCCATTCTCCTCTCGTCAAAGCAGTGTGCGGTGATGTTTGGGAAGGATCGTCTGTTTGATTTGTTAATCCTGCCCAGTGAAGTCTGTTTTCATAGCTGAAATCTTAAATTCCGCAGTGCAGATGAGGAGCCGTCGCCATACAGAGAGAGATTAAACCGAGTAGGAAGTAAGAAACTCATCAGCGCTAAAACCTAAGAAAACAAGTAAATGCACATTTCACTGAGAACCAAGATGACTGCCTGAGTGAACTTCCACAGCTGACCAGACGGTTCAAAGGAACTAATGAGGGAGAAAAGCACCAGATTAAGTGGGAATGAAGGTGGATGAGTGTGTGCGTGTGTCTGTATGTGTGTGTATGTGTGTGTGTGGGGGGGGGGGTGCATGTGTGTGCATGTGCATGTGCTTGTGCATGTGCATGTGCATTCAATGTAATTACTTTCAGTAATGACCACAATAGAGAGTGACAGGAAGTCCAGCTAGACCAGAGTGAAATTGCTAAAGGCCAGAGTGGAGAGCAGCACACCTCAGCTGGCTGGTCAAGCCAGATCTCAGCTCCTGCCTATTTTACACCCAAAAGCGGAGCCCTGCACTGGTGTACATCGATACATCGATCTGAAGAATTCTGACCTTAAGCCTACCACAAAAATGAGCAGGTACAGGACCCTTCAGCTACGTTTAACAGTGTGGGGGAAGTGGGCCATTTCCTTATATTTAACAGAGAGGGGAATGGGACAATGTAAAAGCATTTAACAGAGAAACAACAGGATCCTTTAAAGACATTTAACAGAGTGGGAACAGGACTCTTTAACTACATTTAACAGAGAGAGGGGAACAGGACCCATTAACTATACGGTGTGAGGAACGGGACCCTTTTACTACATTTAACTCAGAGGTGAACAGGACTGCTTAATTACACATAGCTGCGGGACAGCGAGGCTCTTTACCTACATTTAAGCCCCTCTGGAACACAGACTGCCCCATGACGTTTGCCAGCATCCGGATGAGGGCGGCACCCTGGAGTAAAGAGACAAGGGCAAAAACACCTGTCACCTGGTTGGTACCTGCTCAGCAGGTCCACACTCCTCCCCCAACTCTTCCCCAGCAGCGTTGTTGGTAAAAACGGACCAGTTTCCATATGAACGGTTGTTAGGTATGACTGAGCATCCCCACTGTCAGGGTTGGTGCCATCTGACCCTCTCCTGTGTGCATTGTCCCCATTTGGCCAGCAGGCGTCGCTGGACATCCTGCTCCACCCATCTTGTAGCTCTTCAGGCTGCTGTTTGTGTCTGTTATGGTTTATCCTTGTGTCCCTGTTTAGCTTTACCCTCCTTGTGCCTTGCTTTATTTTTGTTCTGTTTGTCCTTTATTTATAAATATTAAGTGTGTGGACCGCCAATGAATTTTAATGTAAGATTGTAGAACATCACCCCTCCAGCAGACCCCTAGGGTTTAACAGAAGCCTTGCCTTCTTGTAGGCGATCCAGTCGAACACCCTGTCGATGTCAGCGGCCTGGAAGACCTCTTGGGAGATGGGGTGCGAGCTGGCAAGGCCGTCCAGCAGCATCACCTCGTGCAGGACGTCTGTCAGGAAGCGCTGCTTTTCCTGGGCATGGGGGACAGAAGGCTGGGCTGAGAATAGAGTCATCCCCTGCTGGACCGGCTTCATGGTGCCACGTGTTGGATTGCTAAAGTTGAGAGGTGAGGATGCGGAACATTTTCACAGCACAGAGAATAAGACATTCCTGCAGAGCAAATACAGGCCCCAATGATACTGCTGGTTAAACTGGGAGTGACAGGGGTGATTCTAGGGTTATTTTAAAGTGGGGGGCATATGAGGAACCATAATTCATGCAGAGGGGCCAATTTTATCATTAGCCAATGATATGTTTTGAATTGGAGAGTGACAGGGGAGGGGACACTCCAGTGGCCAATCAGCTTTCAGTTCAGGCCAGCGCCCCTGTGGTCCCGCCCCTGTACACACTGTTGCCGAGCACTTCATCCCTGGGAGAGCCCCATTGCATACGCTCTCGGTACACCATCTGCTATTCTGCTATGAGAATCAAGGATTTGTTTCCATTTTCAACTCGGGGTCATCCATACCCCTTGGAGCAGCCAGTCCGATTTCATCCCCAGAAGCCACAGTAAGCCACACGCCTCATTTGCTGCTAATAAGAATTAATCTGACTCACTGGAAGCTGCGTGGGGGGGGGATTTGGATCAGGTGAGCAGGCATATCACTGTCTGGGTCTCTGGCTTCGGATGGCCACAAGTTTTGGGCACACCGCGTACGCAGGACGAATTACCACATCCCCACCACCCGTAACCAGAAAATAAACATCTGCTACTCTTCTCAAAGCAATCTGAGGTGAAATTACATTTAAAAATCAAAAAATCAATCTGCAAGGAGCCCATTTCCCTCGTCATCTGCTCCTGCATGCCAGTCAGCTAATAACGACAGACAGACCTCTCCACAGGATGGTATTCAGCAGAGCAGAAATTACACGTCTGCTAAAATGATAATTCCCTGATTCCTAAATGTCAGATTAGATTCTTAAATGTCATCTAAGCCCCTCCTTTTCCCATTTCTAGATATTTAAGAGAATACACAATGTACAGTCATAGAAAAATACTGCTTGTGTTGTAATATGTCAGATTTAGATTTATCACTGTTTACCATCCTTCTGCTTCTGTGGAATATCTCTATCTGTGTGCTGCTTTCACTCTTTTCAAATAATTTCAGTTCTAATTAATTATTTGCAACTCTTTCACTTTCTATCCAACTGCACCTGAGACCCAAGCCTTACACACAAATGGCAATGGAGTTCAATGACAGCTGCTACATAAAAGATGTTGCCTAATACTTTTTGATATTTTTGATGCATGTTATCTTCCTCCTCCTGCAGTCCAGAGACATGCAGTGTAGGTCTGACCCGCTGTGAGTGTGTGACTGTATACCCTGACACTCCATCCAAGTGGCTGACTGCCACATTCCCTATTCATCATGGAATAGACTTCAGATTAACTGCTTGTATTGGATAATATCCATGTGCAATACTGATAGGCTCCATAGCTCAGTGGTTAGAGCACTGACCTTGTAAACCCAGGGTTGTGAATTGGAGCCTGAGGCCCACAAACCTTGCATTTGGAGCATAGCTTTTGGGGCACACTGTGTGTGGTTCCGCAGGCTATGACTCTGTACCAGAAGTTTACTGGTTCAGATCCTGGGGCCCAAGAGCAAAACCTTCAACCTCCGTAGAAATGCATAAATTGCTGACCTTGCACTCTAACCCCAAGCTTCACTCTCAGCTGTATGTGTGTGTATGCCTCAATGCATGATGGGATATGCAAAAACAAGCATTTCGATTGTACTGTGCAAATGGAACATAAAGCATCGGCATTAGATATGCTTTATTTATTTACTTTAAAAATTATTTATCAGTTGTTGAGCCACAACAAACCTAATCCCAAGACACAGGACACCCTGGGTCAGATGGCATTGCAGTGCACATATTCATGCACTGTAGGCAATTTAAGGGCACCAATACAGCCAAAGGATTCAGGAAGGGGATGCAGATGGGACTCAAACCCACACCCTGGGAGGTGTGCGAGCACAGTGCCACCCACGAGCCACCATGCCAGCTCTGTACGGGCTATAATTAAGTAGGACGCAACCATTCAGTTATAAAGTATAAATTATCATCTGAAACTTCATTTTATCACCATAAAAGCCCTGGTCCCATTTTCAAGCTACTTTTAAAGCATCTTGCCTTCTCCACCTGTCCTTGGCTGAAGCTGTTACCTGCTGAGCACATTTATCACCCGATAATTACTGTTTTTTACATGTGTCAGTCAGTTATCAGCTCTAAGCAGACCTATTATGCTTCTTTTCCTCAGACCCCAATTTCACATAGCCAAAAAAATGCCACACTTAGCCTGCTAGCCGGATTAGCACTTACTCTAATAAGGCAGCAGATGTCTGAAGTATATATACATATTCAGGCAGAAAATGTGAATGGAATAAGTGTGATTGGGATAAGTGTGAAAGTGCCTGGTGTACTGGAACCTTCCAGCAAATGCAAGCATTAGGTTTGTGGGGAAAAAAATAATATTCAGTTACAACAGCTTGATGGAAATCACAGCTAGTCAACTGGCAAATGGATACAAGACAAAACAAAAAGTGAGGAAATGGGTATTCCCAAAGAAATCACACAGGGAGATTCAAAATGGCGGGCAGGAATGTCATAAGGCCAACTCTGTGTATCCTTTCCAACTCTGGGTTAAACCGCATTATCTCGTTTCTGAGCCTAATTTCAGGATACATCTGGATATGTCATCTATACTTTCAATTAATGGACTTTTCACTGAATATCCTTTGACTTAATGATTTGTGTTTAGAGACAGGAAGTTAAAAAAAAAAACAACGACACTTAATAACATAAGAAGATAATCCATGTTATGAACGGTTTATTGGCTGAATGCTGCATGAATGGCAGTAGGACAGCGATCAAACACCAGTGGAGCAGACCAACTTCGGGGTCCGTCATGCACCCAGGCCATGTGAATGACAAACACTCTTGTGTGCTTTAAAGATAAGTGCTGAGTAATTTGTCCTGAATTACTTCCTCCATATCATTCAAAATAAATGGATGAGGATGCAGACTGCATTCTTGTTGAGAATGAATCATCATAACGGCCTCAGAACAACCGTGCTGTCATGAAGGACAGAACACACACACACACACACACACACAGACAGACAAACACTGTGTATTCCAATAACACATACAGTACCAGACACAAAAATGAGAGGCCGGATCATACATCAATATTGAGTATCTACCCATAGATTTAGAGAGACCAATTCACCTAACTGCATGTTCTTGAACTACAGGAGGGAAACAGAGATCCATCCATCCATCATTGAAACATTTTTTTCAGTACGAGGTCATGGTGTCAATATACATTCAATTTTTGAAATGGGCACAAGCAATAAAAAAACAATTGCCGCCACACAAGCAAACATATACCCAAAAAAATGACATGGTAGTTGGTTATAAAGGGCAGCAGGAGGACATGGTGGCACACGTGACATTGGCAGGTACATGACGCTCAAAGCCATGTCAGATCCACGGCTTGTAAGGCCAGGACCTCAAACCCTGACTCCACACAGACACATGCAGTCATAGCTGGCCTCTTTCTTCCCATAAGCTTTCATTCTAGGTCATCTCCAACAATTGTGGGTTTTGGCTAAAAGTGCTCACTAAAAAAAAAAAAAAAAAAAGAAAACTATGTTACTCATTTTAGTCACATCTCCTCCTACTGATTTATAGTGCCTTTACACTTTATTAATAGACTGGATAGCTACAGAAGTGATTCGGGTCACGAGCCATTCCCAGAAACCCACTTTCCAGGGTTTGAACCGGCAAGTCTTTAGTCCTCAGGCCTGTTCCGTAACCACGGTTACACCTGCAGCCACAGCTGGAGATGGGCTATCAGCCACCTGTACGGGCAGCAAATAGGCTTTCGTTTGTACATGTGAGGCTCCTTTAAGAAGCTGCACAGGGTGAAAACTACAGCACAGATGTTACACCACCATGCTATGCCCCTCCCCCCCCACACACACCCTACAAAACAAATCAGACTCCACAGATGCCTAAGGACAGTGTAGACGCAAGCAGGTGCACCGACTCTCCCTCATTAATCTTTCTGAGGGATACAGCGAGCCAGGTGAACATTCAGCCTCTAGGAAACCCTTGTTGCATATCCGCAAGGATACCAGAATATGCTGATATTCCATTTTCGGGCGTTTGTGCTGCTCTGACCCCCCTCCCGTGGCCTGAGTATGAGGTACCCCAGTCCTGATGTTTTTAATTGATTGCTTTGCTGGAGGTAGCTGCCATGAGCTCGGTCTGTCAGGCCTTGTGACTGAAATCAGGTGGTAAGGACCATAGACCTCCAGCCTCCACACCGATTAATGCAATCGCTTTATGGCTAACGCTAATGCTACAGACGGAGCACATGGGCAGCCTCTCAGCTGGAGGTCAGTGAGTCCCCACATCTGCCAGTCACGTTCTCTATAGCTTCAGGGGGCCGAATTTCCCTTTGAAAATCATTCTTCAAACAGCCTGTCATGAGTCAGTGTAACGTCCCAGAGACAGACTGTGTCACCGACACACCTGGCTGCCAAATTCTACATCACGCACGCACACACAGACACTCACGCACATACACACACTAGAATTGCACCCGGTTCCTCTGCTTTCTGAGCACTGCGACAGTGTCCCGGGCTGCCCTGAGGGTGAATATGACTCGCCAATCTTCTGAGGGCTCTCTTCTCCATCTGCCTGCTTTAAAAACCTCTGAGGGGGGGGGCTCAGCAGAGACACCTAGGCTGGAATGAGAGCGTCACACACCCACGTGTGCAGGTGCACAGTGTCGCTGCACACTTCATCGCCACTGCATCCCAGCATCTCACGGACGCTGGACCCAGGGGTGAAGGACTGGCTGTGCATCCACACTTTGTTCATGGACAGGTGACCTCTGGGTCTCACAGAATCCACACCTGTCCATGAAAAGCTTGTCTGAAGGAAGGCAAAGCGGCAGCAGGGGCCTCCATTCTCCACTCAGTCTTTATACATCTATGAAGACCAGCATGAACATCCAGCACACTGCAGGTATGCAGTTATCTCAGGTGTCCAGTGCCCCTCTGCATGCCACTGTACACAGCGGCTCAGTGGGCCGCACCCTGGCCTCACACATCCACGACTTCCATCCTGCAGAGCTGGCATGTTACGCTGCGGTTAAGGTTGGCATTGTTGGGATTAGGGTTTTCCCAATAGAAGTGAATGAAAGGTCCCCACAAACATATGAATACAAATGTGTGTGTGTGTGTGTGAGAGAGAGAGAGACTGTAATAGACTTGGGTCCCATCTAGGGTGAAACCTGTCTTGCGCCCTGTCCTTCCCAAGCGAGCTTGATGGGCCGAATGGCCTCCTCTCGTTTGTATAGTTCTTATGTTCTTATGTTCCTTTGACTGGCTCCAGCCTTACTGCCATCCTGTACTGGATGAGTGCTTATGAAAGACCGATTGATGTACCATTTTATAATTGCATTCAATTTTGTAATGAGAGAGATGGCCTGTGACACTCAAGGGGACACTGGGAATCTACACATACATAAACGCCCAGTGGAGGTGAAACAGTCAAAAGTTTTGTGTACATTCATCGATTTATTTTAGTTGATGGAGTGTGAGTCACATTCAGAAGAGTCTGCAAAGGTCCATATTTTCAAAGACAGTAGCCCGAGTCAGCGCTGCTAATTCACTGAGGCCGGATCCCAAAGCAGGTTTGACGCGATATGACGGTGGATCGCATCCAGGAGCCAAAGAACGCCAGGGACTCGGAATGCCGGGGATGTAGAGCCTAATTGGCTTCCTGTGTGATTTTCCATTCCTGCTCCCCTCTTGCTTGTCCTCTCTCAGCGTTCCCGCTTGTTGTTGCTCCTGCGCCTTGGCTCCCCTGCTTTCCATTAAAAAACCCAAAGTGCTTTGCTGTAATGCGAGCAGGTTTACTTTAAAGCCTAATGGATCCTCTTTTACGTGCTGCTGCCATTTCAAGTGGAGGGAGCACTGGTGGACAAGATTGGCATCTCGACAAAAACCAGTGAAAGCTCTTATCTTCATCTTCATGGGCAGCAATATGAAAGGGTCCAACGCAGTTGTCTCTCCAAGGCCCTGTCATGATTACAAAAGAAAGGAGGGACTCAGAGTACTCATGTGGTCTGATGAAGCTCCTGTCTGTTCAGACCCCACCTTGTCTTCGAGAAACATCCAGCAGGGGGAGCCCTCACAGACAGGTCTGCTGTAGCTCTGCCCCACTCTGAGAAAAGTGGACTCAAGCAGCCATTCCAGACCTCCAGGGCCAGCCGGAGGCAGCCTGACAGGACTAGTCCAATCCTCTTATTGACTATATCTCTTCAAAGGGAGAGAGAACAACTCTGTGACAGGGACACGGCTAATACTTATCACTGCTTTATGACGTGTGGAGAATAGCCTCAGAAGGGCTGCGGAATCCGAGCTGATGTCAGTGTCGGGGCAAAATAGATATAAATGAACCATCTGACAATGTGCCACCCCAAGGATTAAGACCAGAGCAAAAGAACTATGAGCAGGCTGTAGAGCAAAAAGTCTCTTCAAAGCTATATGTTCCACAGGAATAAATCAGATTAAACGTTCCATGCAGGTGTTGTGCCTCGAAACTGACACACTTGAAAGCAGACATTGGGAGAATGAAAGGGGCTTTATTAAATCCAAACTAAACAGAGACTGGGAAACAAACAGGACTGTGAGGAATCAAAAAGCGATGATTGGTTAAAGGGAAGGGCAGAGGCAACAGGAAGGCAGATGTTAATGACCGGACTGGGGCTGGCGAGACAAACAGGTACTTATATACAACAGATGTGGCTCATCAGGGCCGTGTTAGGCAGGAGACATGATGGTCAGGACGTGACAGAACCCCCCGCAGCACCACCACCACCAAGCGAGGGGCAGACAAGGCGCCAGGCAGAACAAGGCATGGCAGGAGCAACAGGACACATGGGACAGGCAGGGGCGGGACCAGGCACTAAGTGGGCAACAGGAAAGACCAACACTGAACAGAAGCACACTGATGAAACAGACCAAACACAGGATGGGACCAGGCACCAGGGACACCGGACCCAAGGGACAAACACCAGGCATCAAAGGAGACTGAGGAGCAGCAGAGACAGAGATGGCAGAACAGATCAGGGCAAATGAGGAGGGCAACAACAGAGACAGGGAAGGAAACACTGGAGAAGGCAATAGGGGACATAGGCCAAGTCAAAACGGAGGCAACACTGGGTAGCGGGAGAGGGACTAAGGTGGGACTGGAGTGAACATGGAACAGGAAGTTTTCCAGACCCTCAGGAGCTGGGCGGCGAACCTGGGATGTGAACCCTCTTGGGCCTGCTCCCTCGCAAGGTGGAACCCATCCAGACCGTAGGGTCTAAGAGCTTCAGAGGGCCAGCAGGGTTGGAGGACACCGGGGGGCCAGCAGAGTTCGCCAAGAGGATAGCTGCATCAAAAAGTGGTGAGGGCGCTCCAGGGCCGGAGCAAGAGGGCACCGAGGGGATTGCAGGGCAGAAGCAAGAGGGCACCGTGGTTCCCCGTCTGCAAGGAGTGTGTCAGGGTGATGCCAGGACATAAGGCAGGCACTGACGGGATACCAGGAGTTGAGGCAGGAGCTGATAGGACAGCAGGAGGCGAGGCAGAAGGCGAGGCGGGAGTCAACAGGACAGGAGACGAGGCAGGAGGTGAGACGGGCATCAATGGGACACCAAGAGACGAGGCAGGAGGTGAGCAGTGCGTAGACAGGGCACCTGGAGGCGAGCAGGGCACAGACAGGGCACCTGGAGGCGAGCAGGGCACAGACAGGGCACCTGGAGGCGAGCAGGGCACAGACAGGGCACCTGGAGGTGAGCAGGGTGCAGTCGTGTGGTTGTAACATATGGATGAAGTGTAGTTCTCTTGGGCTTTGCCATAGTCCTTAGGACATGAGTTGGCGTTGTCTGACCAATGGAGGACAGCGATTTGCAATGCAAAATCCCACCCACGCCCAGGAGATCTCCAAAGAAGAAGGTGTCTTGACACATCTGATGAGCAATGGGACTGCCAGCTGTTACTCTCTGTTGAGTTGGGGAGCGGAAATGTACACGGGAAATGAGGGTCCCGCACAGCGCCATCTGCAAACAGCTCAACAACTGGGTACTCTTTGTCACGGGTGGCAATGAGAAGAGTGATAATTACGAGGCTTAATTGTGATTAGCGAGCGGAAAACAGAGAAATTGAATGACATGAGTCATAGCAGATTAGCATTTACGCTATACTACAAATGAGCTCCGCAGAACATCTGAAGCTAGCAGCTGTGGGATGCAACCTTACCATGTTCCACTTGGGGAAGAGGAAGTCAGTGCCCACATACTCAAAGAAGTGAGCAAAACCCTCCTTCAGCCAGACGTCCTCCCACCAAACAGGGGTCACGAGGTCGCCAAACCACTGCAGGGGAACAACACAAAGAGTTTTACTGCAACCTCTCATGATCTACACCCAGCTAGACTGGGTTCACCCATTCACATCACAACCATTAGTATTCAAGGACAGCACTTTCATTTATACAGAAGTTCATATTTATTTGGGTCTGAGGGCAACAATATTATTCTCACTCACAACATAAAATGAAATAAAAGTGAGTATTAAAACCCAAGGTATCGACTTTGTACTTTTTCTTCATGAATGCTGCAAGATAGTGAGCCAGTCTTTGATACTAGCAGTTATCTTGCAGCACAATCAGCATCTGAATTTACAGATAAGGCATGTGAAGAAAAGGGCCCTTCCTGTATTACACAGTTTGCCGTCCATTTCGGTGAGATCCTGTTGCAATGAAGGATTTCATGCGTTGCCACAAATTCCTTTTGGAGAACCAGATAAACAATGTATTCATGTTACCATCTGAGACTGTCACAGGCATTGGGAAGTAACACATGTTAATGCTTCCTCCCAATTCAGCGAGGAGGGGAGTGGAAAGCGGTAGGGTATCAATTCCCTGTCAGTCTCTGTACAATTAAATGCTCATCAGTGCTCATCAGAGATTGGGCAGGACCTCTGAACTTAAAGTCAGACACATCTAAAGAGGATCCGCTTTCAAAAACATTTCATTAGCATTTATTTCCAGGTATAGCAGGACAGGGGATCCCAGAGAAGCCCGTGGGCTCACAGAATCCCAACATGCCCTGGTTTCTGTTTGGAGCTTTAGGTTACCACAGACACAGGGTTTCTGCTGTGGCTTTAGGTTACCGTAGACACGGGATGGTGTGGGGGACTTGATTAGTACTCTAGTGGAACACATGCACACCCTTTTGGATTCAGCAAAGGGTCAACAGGCCATGGAAATATGAGAGTCAAAAAGCATGACGTCAGAGCTCTCTCTTACCCTTGCCTGCTCTCTCACTCCCTCACTCACTCACTCTCTCTCTCTCTCACCCTCACTGTCTCTCTCAACCTCATTCTTTCTCTCACTCCCTCGGTCCCTCTCGCGCTCACTCTTTACCTATCACCCTCACTCTCTAATGCTCACTCATTGCCTCTCAGCCTCATTGTCTCTCACTCTATTTCCGTTAGGGTTGCCGCTAACGACTATATTTCCATTGATTAATCTATCGACTATTGTATCGATTGGCTGATTAATCTAAATGATTAATTTTCCACCAGAAAATCAACATGATGGTTTAATTTAGGTAAATTTTATTTTGATGACAACAAACTGCATGCCGTTACTGAGCTTTAGATAATGTACGCAGGCTATTCGGCACTATATGAACATTATTTTCACCCACAGTACAATAAGCAGATTAGTAGTAGATCTATGCCTAAAATATTAATGAGATGCATATCGTGACACCCAAAAGTTAGTAATCTGTATAAATCTGCCGTATCCTCATGCTTAATAAATTCGCTTAGCAAAGCATGCCACATGCGACATAAGCAATAATAATGTAAGCAGCCACAACATCTTTTAAAAGAGGACATACAGTACTGTGGTTAAACAAGGTAAAAAATATGTTGGTGGTGTGGCGGTACTTTTGCGGATTAAAGTCCGACACGTTTTTTGTAAATATGGTTTTCATTTTTATTTACGTTCACAAATTATTTCCTTTTATTTAGTGTCCATTTTTGTTTCAGTTTTAGTTTACAATAAGGACAGTCAACGTAGAATAAGCCCAGATTTTAGCCTAAACATTTTCACTAACACTTATTCAGTGGAGATTCTAATGTAGCAGGCGGACAACTTTATGGCTTTAATAGTGAGTGTTTTTAGTAGCTACAAGGGCAAAACATATTAAAAAGCTCTCCGTAGTGATGGTAATTTAATCAACATGAATAGAGAACATGGTGATTTGCTGGTCTAGAATAGCGCCTGTGTGTTTCCTCCTCAGGTGTTCCTGCACAGAGCCTTGGTTTGCCATCGCACTGTGCACAGTGTAAAACCACCTTTTTGTTTTGTGATCATTTTTGAACTGCTCCCAAAATTACATAGTGATGTGAAAAGGAAAACGTTTTTTTTTAATGAATTGAGGCGTTTTAGAAATCATAACGATAATTTCAATAAAATTTTAAAATGATGCGTCAATTTGAAATATCGATATCCATGCATTTTCCACGTTGACGTCATTGACTACGTCGACTAATTGCGACGGCCCCAATTTCCATCACACACTCCTCTTTCACACCTTCTTCCTCTCCCTCCCCCACAGTCTCAGCATCACTTTGTCTGGGCCTCGCTTGCTCTCGCCCTCACTCTCTTTTTCCCCCACTTCCATCCACATCCCTCCATTCTCAGACTGGACTCTCCATTTAGCAGTACTGAGCTATCAATAAGGTAGCTAATGGTTATCAGCTACTCATTGCAGACAGACAATCAATAGGCATGAGGTAAATATTTTATTCAATCTGTTAATACTAATTTGATAATGACGGACTAGCATCCCATCCAGAATGTGCCCAAACCTTTGTGCCCTGAGCTGCCTGGAATAGGCTCCAGACACCCCCCCCCCCCGGACGGATAAAAAGCACATGCTGCCGTAGTGCTGTAATAAAATGTTCTTGGCTGGGGAACAAAACAAATAAATAAATAAATGATGAATCCGTAAAATAGGAATCGTGCGGCAATGTCTGCGCACCGGGTTTGGTAATCAAAGTGAGGTCTCTTCACGTGTGCCGCAGGAGAACGGCACGGCTTTGATCCGCCCGCTTTGAACTGCTCCTGAGGTCCCGCGTGACTGGCAAGAGGCAAAGGACGCGCTGCTGCTCTATTTTAACCCCGCCGCCTTAACCGCCAGCACGGTGTCCGCGAGAGGCACCCCCCCACGGTGATACTACACCCAGGCGGGGCGTCAATAAACACCCACACTCTGCTTCAGCAATGATCATGTGACACCCTTAACAATTCAGAGCATCTGATTAATCGGGGGACGCTAATTAAACGGCAGACAGGTTGCGTAACGCAACACAGTTCTAATTAATTTCCAACAACGGCGAAGGTGGCGAGTCTGACACTTCTGTCAGAAGTGATGCAGCTTTTTTGCTGATTGCTGATGATTTTTGGACTATTTTGACTGCAGACAGAATGATGAATATAAACGAGTACATGTATTTCAAAATTTTCGCCTGAATTTTACTTATAAATCGGCAAGGCTGGAAAACACAGTAATGAAGTTGTAAACAATTCAGTCACGGGTGCTGCAAATATCAAACTACATAAAATTGATTTTGTCCATCTTATTGCCATATTCTAAGCATTTACAGCATCAACAGGACAATGGCGCCTTCATTTGGCACTGCAGATGACATCCACAGTGCAGTCTTCAAGGTATGAGAGCTGGGGAGGGGCAGGTCCAGCCAGGCTGAGCAGGCACCTGCTGCGTCAGAACCAAAGTGCAGGATTAATTACTGCCCTGCTGACGAGCAGGATGGACCCCTGCCGGAGCCAGGCCCCCCATGGCAGCAGAGGTGCCATTATCCGCCTCCACAGCCTCAGCGGCTGAGAAGATAATTGGGGGGCTGGAGACGCCCACAACCCCCCCCCCCCCCCCACCCCGCCCCACCTCCCAGGATTTTTGAGATGGTTTTTTGAGGGCATTCATCTGAGAATGCCAAAGAAAGGACACTCTACGGACATCTCTCACTTTAAACAAATAAGCTGACATCCCACAGGTCACCAAACCCTTTTCCCTCATGAGCACCTTAGTCTCCGCTTGAAATATTGACGTCACATGCTGCTAGTCCCAAAAACCAGTAAGCCAGTCTCCCTCCTTCGCATGCTGTCGCAGGTAACCAACAAGAATGATTAACTTATTATAACCCATTTCCCAACAGCATGGTGATTAATGTACGAAGAGAAAATTAACGCCGGCTGAATGGGGTTTGATTTATTTTTTTTACAATATTAATGGAAGTATTCATTATTGGCCAAAAGAATGTTTCACGGAACTGAAGCTGAAGGCGGCTCCCTTTACTGGTCTCATGTAGCTATGATCTCAAAAGGTAGCCAGCGCGCAAATCCTATTTGGACACTCTTTAGCACAGCTATTCAGACCCGACACGATTGGCTAACATTTGCCCCGTCTCCTTGTAACATTCGCTCCAGTACAATGCTGAATATCAAACCTGGCACTTTGCAAAAGGCCTGATCACTCATTATAGCATTAATGGCAGAATCGTAAAGGGGGTTTCGTCAAGGCTGAGTAAAGGCACCTGCTCATTAGTCGCACATTTAACGGCTTAATGAGCCTTTAAGAGGGAGCAATGGAAGCACTAGATGTGCCCCGGGAAATGGGGTTTATGTGTTAGCAGGGTGGCACATGGGCGGGGGGCCAGATGAAAGGGCAAGGTTGGACAATAGATATAGTATAGTATAGTATAGTATAGTATAGTACAGTAAACTGACAAAAGTTCCCTGACACTCGTGCCCAAGCCTATCCAGCACCGCTTCCTCCCACAGTCCTTTATATGACACCCTGAGATTAATATGCATGAGATGGGATGGATAGTTTAGCATAGCATGGCACAACATAGCATTATACTGTACATTTCAGTACAACATAGTATGACATAGCATAGCATCGCATGCCATGGTATGGTATGGTATGTTATGGTATAGTGTGGAGTGATGTAACTTAGTGAAGCAGAGCATAGTATAGTATATACCTGTGAGGTAAGGGTTAAAGTCCCCTACCGAGAACATGGGTGGTTAAAGTCCTGTGTTTTTAGTGGCATTTTATTATTATTATTATTAATTTATTTGTTTATTTATTTGTTTGTTTATTTTTATTATTCTATTTTCTATTACAATGTCTGTAATGCACTTTGTCAACCCTGTGGTCCTATATAAATAAAAACTGACTGAAGATTGATATAGTATAGTACAGCATAGCACGCATACATTCCTGGGCCAGAAAAACGGCCAACCCCAAACTGCACAACATTAAGCTTGTGGTCCAGGAGTGTAGTATGGTATAGCAATGTAGTATGGTGTTCTGCAGGGTAGTGTAATACAATATATGCCACAGAACACACAATGAACAGAATATATTTTTTAATTAAAAAACATATAATGAGGCAAATCAGGCCTGCGTTTCATAAATTAATAACTGACATCTAAAGCGCTACTCCTGGATTCCAACATTTCTGTAGCTTTCAGTAACATAAATAAAATAATCCTCAGACAGCAGACCGTACTTTAAAAAAATTATAATAAATTTAGGTCTGATTCTGCTGAGAGCCTCCTCTTGGATAAAAATGCAGGAAATTCCCACTCACAAGAGCTTTGATCAATCATAAGCGACATATGCAGTTCAGGGAATTATCCTGGACATATTTTTTGGGAAATAGTCACATAAGCTGAACACGGGAGGAATCCAACGATGTGGGGGTGACGAATACAGCAGGGGCTCTGAACCCAACAGACATAATGTCATGGTGAAATGCTACCTGGATGAATGTGGCTCTGGCCTGTAAGCCCAGAGGAGATGAGAACACGTGGGGGTCAGGAAGAGTCCTAGAATTCCTGCGTGACTTTATGGGGCGTGGGAGTGTGGCGCCAATCAACGTCTTCATTGTATGACATCACTGCATTATTTAACATCAGCGCTTTCTGTTAAGCGGCAAGTGCACAGATTTCTGAAGTGCCTGTTTTATTGTGTCTGCCTTTTGTTAAGGAGCATGTCATAGATAAACAGACAAAACATAGGAACATGTTTACTTGCAAAGGCTGTGCAGAGCTATACAGAAGTGCGTCTTCATGCTGATGATAATAGCAATATAATAGCAATAACATCAAAAACAATAATAAAAGGGCTTAAACCAGCAACTTTCTGATCCTAAATACCAAGCTTTAACCTGCTAAAGCTGCATTCTGCTGCTGAAAGGCTGGAAGCCTTGTGCTTGAAAATAGGAAGAAAACGGACTGATACGGTGATGTCACACGATAAAGACATTGATTGGTTAAAGAAGTGAAATGCAAGCCCCTCAACCCAGGGACACGTCAAACTCGATAAAACCAGGATCTCCTGGGAGTGTGTGTGTGGCAGTGGGAGGGGGAAAGTTGGGCTGCAGATGGTGGGGGGGGGGGGGTGTCTGGAGGCTGAGAGAAGGAGGAGAAGCGGGGGCAATGGAGGACAGGAAGAAGCTGGCTTTCCAACACACCTCAACATCCCTCTCCGGAGAGAGCACAACATGGGGTCCAGCTCAAGGATACTCCATCCATCCATCCCTCCATCCATCCATCCACCCATCCATCCATAAGAGCATAAGACATTCACAAATGAGGGGAGGCCAACATTACCTAACATACCTAACTGTAATCCTTTAAAACAGGCCAGCTGAAGCTTTTAAAAACATTGACTATGCATCACATTCAATTACAGCATGTATCCATCAGAGAAGGTCTCAGGCAGCAGCCTTTCAACAAGGGCAGTGGAGTTCAGCAGGAAAGCCTCCCTGAGACGGCAAGGAAAGACGTGCCGCATGACAGATCTTCCGGGACGTGCGCTGCTGTCAAGCAGGTCAGTCTGCGGCAGCCGGGATGGGTGACCCAGCTGGGGACTGTTTCCCAATGCAGATCCCCTGGCGCTGGTCACATTAGGAAAGGCTGCTTGTCAATAAATAAGAAAAGCTGTTATTTCTGCTCATTAACATGACAGCTGGCTGTGTGGTCCCCCCCCGTCAGTGAAAACGCCAGTCCCCTGAGAAGCACATAATCAGCCGCGGAAGTTTCTGGCATACCGTGTTTATAGGACCGATGGTCATCATCAGGTTCGAGGCTTATAATAAGTTCCTACAAAGCAAGAACGGCCATAAACATGTATTTCAAACAGTCAGATAGATTCGCCAGCTAATCACAATTTTTAAGCAAACTCATACTAAAAATACCAGCCTTGGTGGATGTGTTTGATCCATTGGTAATGATCTATATTGGAAAAAAACAGCAGGTGCCAGAAGTAGGTTACTTTACACAAGGGGGTGGATAAAAATAGACATTGACTCAGGAGATGGTGAAAGGAACATCTCAGAAGCGCTGCGATGTCTGGCCCTGTTTTCCTCTCAAACGTTTGCCATTACCGGCATTACGGGTCCCATCTCTTCCCCACACAGGAGATGAAACCCACTCATTTCTACACCGGCCGCCAAAGAAAAACAGATCCGTCGGCTTAAGCTGTCAGAGACACCCCCGCGTCAAGAGGCCATCGCAATAGCACCTTCTTGTCCACGAAACAACTCCAAAAGGCATTTTAAACGGAGAGGAAAGCTCGAGTTGGGTAAGTAAGATGAGTTCAAAAGATGACATCAGTCACTGATCAGCAGAAGCAAGGCTGTAAATTACAGGGGAGATGAGAGGGGGGTTATTACCCCCCCCAGTAATCAAAACCGGCCAATATAACCTCCCCAAGTAATCATACTGTCATGGTCAGTGGGTGGGGGCCTCAACCACCCCAATGTTCAATCCAAAGTTACGCCCTTGAGCAGAAGGGAGAAAAAATGTGGAGTAACTTCAGAGCTAATGATGGAAGCCTTGAGTAACACAGAGCAAACATTGAGTTCTAAAGAAACTATCCCAAAATCTCCCATGCGGTGCTTAAACGCTCTCTAGCATTGGATTTTAATATGGGATCACCTAAGGTCCAAAACGAAAGTGCAAACTTGAGAAAGGGAGAAATATGATACATTCCTACCTGATGACAGATCTCGTGGACCACCACCATGGTAAGCTCCATCAGGTAGGAGAACGAGGACACCTCAGGCTCCAGAAGGATCTTCTGCTCCACAAAGACACTGAGGCCCCAGTTTTCCATGGCGGCATAGGGGTGCTTTGGCACAGCGAGGAGGTCTGCAGTAACAAAGAGGACAATAGAGTTTGAGCCAAGGGTGACAGTTAAACAGGGACTGTACAAACATGCATAATAAAGATGTTAGGGGGTTTTTTTTCCCCAAGATTAAGTACAAGGTTGACAGTCAACCTAATAACAAACAACCTCTACAGTTCCCTGCTCCCAAATGTTCTGTTTCTGTTAATGCAGGAATGACACTTTCAAAGCCACTCTGTTAGAGAAATAGGGGCATTTTTGTGAAGGATTGCATATACCCAGTAGGGCAAGTTAATAGTAGACAGGAGGCATATATATGTTAGACCTTCTTTATGGACAATGAGCACAAGGCAGAAAAAAACTACAGCAGAACAAGGACACAAGAGTGTCGTCCGATACTAATTTATCTCATTATGTGCCATTTGTTCGAGCTAGACATCTCGGAAGTCACGACATCGCAGCCCTCAGTACTGCTAATGGTTTGTTTTGAGTTTGACTTTGCGAGGTTATTCCCGAAAGTGCTATGTGCCAAACGGTCCGCAGTGGAAGGACAACACAGGGCCACCCTAATGACCGGCTGAGTCTGACAGAAGAAAACTTCCATCAAACGTGCATCCAGCTGCCAGGGAGGCCGTGCTTGGCTAGAAACCATTTAACGGGTGAATACATATCCAGAGGAGCAAATGGCTGAGTCTGTATTTAAAAAATACAGGCATATTGTTACATCTTATTATTTAAACTTCAGTCTAAAAATGTACACCTTCCGGAAACCCTCTGTGCAGAGTTTGAGTATTTATCCTGAGTTTAAGTGGGTTTCCTCCAGGTATTCCAGTCGTACTAATTCAGGGACGTGCTGCTTGAATGAATTCGAGACTCCGGACGTCATTTGGGCTGTGCCTCTGTGGGTGCCTGCCTGTGTCTGCCTGAGAAAGACCCAAAGCTATGGATGAGGTAGCCAGCAAAGGATCAGCGAGCATCTCAGGGCCTGGAAGGAGTGATGAGAGCTACCTGAATGGGGATGAAGGCATTTGCATTTTATTTATTCTAGCAGGTTCTTTTATCTGAAGCAGTATAAACGTTTTCGCGAAAGCATGGTCAGATGGTTACACGCCTTGCTCAGGAGCCCAAAAGGGGACCCAATCTGCCATCCCTGGGATTCAAACCAACACCTTTCTGACTGGAGATGCAGCTTTCAAACCTGCTGAGCCGCACACCACAGCCCAGTTAGGTAAAGGCTTTTGAGTAGCTGAAGCTGGTGCTCTGATTGGCTGCCTGGGTCATATCCCAGGCTGCCCCCCACCGCATCAAACACCCAGCATCTCCCTTATATTTTCTTAAGCCTTTATATATCTTTGTGGGGACTCACCATTCATTTCTATGGGTAAAACTCTAATCCCACTCACGATACCCTTAACCCCTACCCAGCCCTAACTTTAACCAATAAGTAACCAAATGAAATATGAGACTTTTGGTTACATCTGAAGTTTTTTGATTGAGGGGAGGAAAAGGTCCCCCCAAGGTCAAAATGATAGGTTTATATCACATTGTGGGGACATTTGTTATATGCATAACCTACAAACACACACACAGACACACACACACCGAGCTGGTGTCACTCTGAGACTGTGAGACCCTTTAAGATGATCTGATCTGCTTTCTCACAGTGAGCCCTCGTCAGGCCGAATCTCAGGGGCCCTGAAAATAAATGAGTTATCAGCGCGATGAAGTCCAGCGAGCCTGAACGGAGCACGAGAGTCATGAAGAGGGTCTGCGGCGCAGTCATGGGCTTTATCAATCGCCATGAGCAGCCTCTTTAATTACCTGCCTATTACTCCTACAGATAATCACACCCACTCTCTCCCCCAGGTCTTGTCATCATAAAAACTTCAACTGAGGAGCGCATGGCGTGCCCAATCAGAGAAAAACACATGGGGGGGGGGGGGCATTTTGTCTTCTAAGCACCTCGGACAGCGACCCACCATGCACAGGACTCTACAGGCGGCCCTGGACAGTTACTCCGAACGTCCTCGTCACCCCCACTGGTGTCCTTAACAAGCGGGGCGAAGGTTGTGCAGCTACGGGCTGCAGGGTTTCATTTGCTCAGCTGGTGACGGGGGAGGGGTGGAGCAAAGGGGTGCACATTTATGGGGTCAATTCCCCCTCTGTGGTCCCCCATCTGTGACCATGCACATGTGTGTGTGTGTGGGGGGGGGGCTCGTCCGGGGGTCTCTCAGTTTTCATTTGCCATTTGCAGCATATGAAACAGCAAAACAAACAGATGGAGGGCCTTAACCGCCTGAAATAAAAGCACCCCCCATGTGACGACCGCCTCCAACCAGTGACTTTTCCCCCCACCCTCAAAAATGAAATGCGCTTCGGTGAAAGACAGAAATAGCCCACGGGGGGGAGGGCAGGGGGGCTGAATGTCACATTGCCAATTGATTTTCTGTAGAGCACGCCGCTGCTCTCCTGTGACAAAATGGAATTGTCCCCATGAAGATGACCCATCTGGTCACACATAAGCAGACAGACTTTACGCTCGTCACATCTCTGCCCCCCCCCCACAACGGGCCACGGACTGAGTAATATTTGCAAATTATGGGCACTAATTACGAACAACATCAAAGCCTCAGTTTCTTTAGTGCCTAGTTCTTAAATGCCTTAAGGCATAGTTTCTGGTTGGGGGTGATACAGACTCGTACATCATAGTGAGAGCTATATCGCACTGCGTGTGTATTGAATAAACAGTTTTGATGACCCTTTCCCTTGAGCGAAGACACCGGTCTCTCCTGTGATTACTGACAGCCATCTTAAAGCTGTCATTACCATGGGGAATAGGGAACAGAAGTACATTTAAAGTACAGTTTTGCTGAAGAACCTTGAACACAACCAATGAGCAGCAATATGTCCTCTGTGGCCTTTGTATTTTTCTGTGGGTGACCAGACCATCCGGCCTGTGCTTTGTGAACAAATGCTGCACAACTCAGCTCATATGTTTTGTACCAAGGCCGTTAACGTCGACTTAAGAGCACAGATGGGAAAACTGGAATATTGAAGACAGAGCATAATTTCCAAGGAGATGATCTATGCTGCTGTACTTGCTGATGATCTGAGTCTGTGATGATGACATACCAATCAGAGTCAGTGATGATGACATACCAATCAGAGTCTGTGATGATGGCATACCCATCAGACTTTGTGATGATGACATACTTATCAGAGTCTGTGATGATAACATACCAGAGTCTGTGATGATGACATACCCATCAGAGTCTGTGATGATGACATACCAGAGTCTGTGATGATGACATACCCATCAGACTCCACCCAGTGGAGTCAGAGTCAGTCTTGTTGACTCTTCTTTCTATGCCTATGTTGTCTGAATGTGCCACGAGTCTGTGTGTGTGCAGCAGTACCTTATTCACAGGACCACAGCACCAGATCATTGATATGCACTTACAGCCTAATCATGCTAATGAGTGCTGCAATGAGGTCAGCGGGTAGCTAGGACAGGCAAACTATCAGTTAATCAGTCACATTTTGCTTGTGCCGTTTGAACAAACTACTTTACTTGGAAGTTCTGAACAGGTTTTCCAGAGGGAAACAACATGCGAAAATGTAAGTGTTTTTTCTGACTTCGTGCCAGTGAAATAAATCAAGATTGTAAGCGCTTGAGTGAAACTGGCTGACTGCATTTCGCCCTTTAGAGCCACGGGAAGCTTGCATCGCACAGGGCTGCACACACACATAGCTACGAGCCTCCCAATTTCCTTACGTTAGTAATGATCTCCTAGTAGCTAAAGGAACAGTGTTCTTCAGCTACGAGCTCTTCTTTATTCCCTCCAGTTAAAATCGTGTACTGTATGTGTAAGTCTGGAAGAAGCTTCACGCATACAGTTTTGGAACTAACAGTGCACCCTGGTATCCCATCCTGCATGTGAATCCTGCATAAGCACAGCAAAGCATGCTAAAAACCAGCACAGCACAGTGAAAATACAGCACAGTGCAGCATTAAAATGACAGACACCCCTCACATGCACACCTGTACACTTAGACTGGCTGCACAGCCCCCCGCTAGACAAACAGTCACAGATATTCACGTGATTTTGCTTGCAGTTGCATTCATTTGGGGTTGGAGATGTATTATTTCATTAAAATCAGGGTAATTGGTGAAGGACTCTACCGGTATGGCTACAGGAACATGTTTGTGGGGGATGTGGCCTGTTTCCTGTTCTCTGGTCTCCACCTGGGTCTTGGGCCATGCTCACCCCAGCTGGACCATCCTTTCCAAGTCACTGGATTCCCCATCTGTCCACACTCCCCCATATGCGTGAGCTCATCCACCTCCAGACTTCTCGGCCAGGCTAGACTCGGACAGACGCCCTCAGATCCACATCAGCTTTTCCCACGCGGGGCATGACTCCCCAAGAGAAAGGTCAAAGGTCAAAACTATGACTTCTATTGTAGTGTCTATGTGGAACTGTTTTGAGGCCTAAGCATAATTTTACAACTGAATACCATTACTTAGGTCTGCAGCAGGGGGCTGCGTCAGACAACCTGCTATAAGAGCTTCGTTAATGAGAAATCCCAAAGACCACTTGCGGGAGATCCTCAAAGAAAACATTTTTCATCCAAGAAAAATGTATTGAATATCTCATTGATCTAGATATAAAGGTGATCCTAGACTGTTGTCTAAGGTGATATTATTTATCATTTATTGTTATTATTTGCTGTTCTGATTCTATATTTAGTGACACTAATATGAAGGATGCACAAGTCAGAATGTTTTGAACTATGTACTCAAAATAATCACATTTTGAAACTTGATCGTAATAATTGCTAGCAAAACAGTCTCTATACAGCGGAGCTTTAGGGCACTTTGGGAATGGACTGATCTGAATGTGCCACTCATCACCCTCGTCACATGACTCATCATCTTAGAGTACGACCTCATTTCAAATGATGCCCATGAGGCAACAAGCACCAGTGTGACATGAATCTACTTCACCTTGGCAGAATGCTC